CGACACGTACTCTCCTTGTCATTCGCACAACAGAAGAACAATCGATCTTTGTTGAGTCCTTCTTTCTTCACCTTTCGAATAGCGCACGGTAATCCATGACGGCACTCGGGTTTCGCTAACGGCTGTACATCACCCCACATCCAAAAGGAACACGGCTTCGCCTTTTCTCCACACACGAAGAATGGTCTTCCATAATTCACATTCATCAAATTTTTCACGACACACATTTTCGCAAGTTTATGATGTTCATCGCACAGAGGATGAGGCTGCTCGGTACATCTCCAAGCTGTTATGGCTTTTTCATACACGTAGCCTTCGTCTTCTGTACAAAAGAAATTGCAACTGGGGTTTTGACCGCAAAACCAAAATGATCCATTGCTTGTTGTGGAATTAGCAGCAGGTTTTCCATGTAAGCACTCCATCGTACAGTTCTGTTGGCAAGTAATGAAAACTGGCGCACGATCCCATCCTTATATATCGTTAAAGTACGACCGCTTCCGGTGACGTAATGATCTTGCCCAAACTTGTTCATGTCCTCAGCATTTATCCTCTCTCCAGTATGAAAGATAATTCAAAATTGACTCAAATTCACTATCCTCGATGTTTTCACGAAGATCCATCAGAGAGTAAACAAACGTTGAATCAGGACTTTTCTCTAAATCGTCAAAGTGATCTCGAACATCTTTATGATACTGTAACTTCATCACTCTAATAGCCTCAACAAACTCCCTCCAAACCATACGTTTAACAATCACTCGCTCTATGGCTTCCAAACCATACGATTGCCATCTCTCTTGTTCTGATAACATGAGACAGTCATGCTGGCGTTGACTCGGATGGTCGTACTCACAACCACAACATCTCTCTTTAGTAAGTTTACCAACTTCGCAAGCAACAGCCTCTGCATATATAGCCTCTAACAAACTAAAAAGCCTTTTATAATCAGAGGACGAAACTTCGTCTGCATGAACACTGTGGCCCAGTTCGATTGCTCAAAATGTTGTGAAAAATTCATCTTCAAAGGCTTAGGATGCAGTGAATAAACGAGCAGTCTCTTTTATAGACAAGTGCAATACAATTACGTAATGCTTACTAAAACTGTACGTACACTAAGTACGAACGCTTGGACGCACGCTAAGTACGTACACTAAGTACGAACGCCCGGACGTACACCACCTGTTGACGTCATTCGCTTGAATCACTTCCGTACCTGGATGGGGGGGGGTTACCTACTCTTATTACCTACCGGTGTATCAAATACCGAAAGTATGTTGAAAACGAGGCGCTAGCCCAGTGTTTTCACATACGTTTAGGTATTTTTTACGCCCTAATAAACAGCTTTCGAGTTCGTCTTATTAGGGTTTGGTAAATCAAGTTTGTAATTTGGATTGGAAAATAAGTGAAAAAAAGAAAATGGGCGAGGGCAAGGAACACTTGTTGGGACATCTCAAACGGAATTGTATTTGAAGAGAAAGACGATAGTTGATTATGGGCGTGGTATCAACATTAGAGTGTCAACGATGCGGTGCTGGTTTCATTTGTGTTTTGCTCATGAATTATTGATGAAAGCAATGAGGATAATTATTTTATCTAAAATCTCACGGCGGTGCACGTTAATTCCTTGATTACAAAGTAAATTCATTCAAATATAACACATTGCAGTTTGTATGGCCAGATTGATGTTACCGATAAAAATATTTACATCCTGATCATATCTACCTTGGTTCGGCGTGGTCTGCGTGGACGAATCTGGCATCTCGATCTTGCTATCATCTGCTTCAGAACCCATGTTTCTTTTGCCGAGTCTTTTGTGTGCTTCGCAAAAGAAAAACATATAGGATAGATTCATAGACAATGATGCATGAATATATACCTCAACTATTCAAGTGCATCTTAAATTCAGCTTTTGAAGATGAATATGTATTATTCTTATTTCGGAGTATTTTATATGCATTATTGAACGAAGGCTGGGCTATACTGCAAATTCAAAAATTCGTTTTCATTCCTTTGAAAGCCAAGCCATTTTTGAAAAAAAAGGTCGTCAAGTTTGGATTAAGCCTTATTTCTATATGGTCGTAAGATTGGATTAGGGTTAGAGTTGGGGCTAGATTAAAGTTAGGGTTCAACATGCGTCGCGAATTTATTGTATAAACAAATTCGGACGTCAATGACAATGTTTAACATTTTATTCATATAATAAATTCAAAGCTGGAGCTCGTGCTGTGTGACTTTGTCCAAACGATGTCAACACAAGCGATTATTTTGAATTCACAGTGTGTGAGTCCAGTTTATCTTGTTAGACCTGAGGATATTTTGAGATAAAGAAAGTAGTTTAGAATATCAGATTAATTAAAATGTTGTGTGTTATTAATAACTTTTCGTATCGCCGCACGAAGTGCGAACACCGCGCATCTAACGCGAATTTGTTCTGTATATCAAAATACTTACATAATGTTGGCTGTTGAACTGGATCTGCTCGCTTGATTTGTTACTGTTCAATATTTTCATACAATTGGTTTCTGAGGCTTAAATCTCATGTTTACTTAAACTAACCGCACGCGGTACCTGCCTTCTAGTTATGTTACTGAGTTTTATTTATCCCGCTGCGCCCTTCTTGACCAGTATATAGATGTAAATGATCAGTTATCGCAGTGTCTGAGTCGGTCTTGGTGAAACTTCCTAGCTGAAACTTACGTGTACTACGGATGACTGTGCTGATTTGTAATTTGATGCCACTACTGAAACTGCATCCGGCTTCAAGTTGCATGCTACAACTCGTGCATGCAGCTGTATATGGGCAGGGGTGCATATACTACAAACGCCTAGCAAAGACAAATTTTATGCTTTGAAACAATAAAAAGAAAATGAACTTGTTATTTTAAACGTGCCATTAAAGTGCCATTAATGCTTCAGTTCACATACGAAAAAACATATTAGTTCGATATAAGAAGTTAAACAAAGAAAATCGCAATCTACCGTTGCCTTCAAACGTGAAGCTTTTGAAACTTCCTGAAGTCCGTGTACGGTCAAGTTTAAGACAAGACAATATATATCGTCATACTTACTGTTGTTCTCCAGGTTTATGTTTCCAGATCTTTCCAGTTATCCCCAGATAAATGGCAAGTAAATTAAATAATTTCCAACACACTGAGCGTCTGACACTTGAGCTGACGCGCTTGTTTCACTTTTACAGTTTGAATTCCAAGAACTAAGCGCATGAAAGCGCATGTGCGTGGGCGGTACACCTGTGTTGATATTTATGATACACGCACTATCGGCATCGCATTACATATTTCAATGATTTAAATTAATGATCTAAAATACATTGTAGCGACAAGGAATTCATCATAATATATAATTATGGTAACAGTTTGTTGTACAGGGTATATAAAAAATGTCTACACAGGTCTAAAATACCCACTAAATGGAACTAATTTCCGCAACATTTGTGGCAATGTATAGAAGTTCGTTGATGACGTAACCATGTCCGAAATAATCTCCTTGCACTCCAATGATGTGGCCAAGTTACTCCATGGGACGATGGACCTCTACCAGAAACATGGAAGAAGACAAAGAAGTTTATCGTTTCCTTCATGAAATAGATCAACCACCATTACAGCCTCTGCTTGTCAACAACCAACCCCTCGAGAGAACAATTAACAAAATCAAAATCTGCTAAACGTCTATCTGTCCACTGCGGCTCTGATCTCAAGTGATCCACCCATATCGATCATATTTAATCCAAAGCAAGTAAACGCCTTTTTGATCTGAGTATCTTAAGACGTAGTGAAGTTCCTCCTAAAGATCTCTGTTCGGTTTTCTGCTGTTTTATACGCCCTTTGCTGGAATATGCCTAGTGTCCCGTGTGGCACTCCTCTCTAAAAGTTAGCCTGTGCCAGCAAGTTGAAGACATTAAAGTTATGGATTTTTCTAAGCACACCAAGTCCTTTTTTGACCTTTTTAGCTATATTGTCTACCTGCTCACGCCATCTCAGATTTTTATCAAGGATAACTACAAGAGTTTTCTTACATTTAATCTTTTCAGTCTCGTATTTCCTATGTACGAAGCAGGCTCGGCGGTAGATTATACCTATTGTTTCTAATGCGTTCGGGACATGAGAAGCGCGACGTTTGAAACAGGCCTCAGTTTACTATTTATTTTGGGTGCCGAGCCTATCATATGTTCAGTCTTAATTAATGATGTTTAAACTGAGCCGATTATAGCTATGAGCCATTCATTCATACCATTCGTATTCAAATCAGTGTTAATCATACTTTCCAAGTTTTCATTGTGGGACACCACATTTTATTGTGCTGTAAACGTAATCTGAATCCTTCAAGTAAACACGACTTGTTTCCTGATCCTATCAGTGATTGACATTACAACCTTGGCTTAGGCCTGTTTCAAACGTCGCGCTTCTCATGTGCCTAACACATTAAAAACAATAGATAATTAACTGAAATGCCTAGCGCGACGTTTGAAACAGGCCTTAGACATTCACGGAAAATTTCACTGATCTTGTTAAATGCAGAACGAAACGTTTTCAAGACAGTTTTCTTCCGTCCTGTATTCGAAAGTGGGACGCACTTTTGTAGTGAGATATTCTAAATTTTTAATTTAATGTACATATATACTTTGTAATCGTATTTTTACATTTAATTATGTAAACTTGAGCTTTTCAGTTTATATTTTTTTGTTTGTAAATTACCAATCAAGTCTTATTAAAACATTCATTCATTCATTGATGGCAACGTTATATCGCGTCTTCTAGCATCTCTGTTGCCAAAATATTCTGAAAGTGAATTTTCGAGTGCAGCAGGGCTATTTATGTAAAATGTAAGGTTAAAAGAGCAATTTGAATTCATAGGGTGCAAATTAATCTGTTTGGAAGGTGTTTTGTGAACTATCAGAGTACCAGACAATTTCATATATCCTACGCGCGACCTCAAAACTTGGCATAATTTATCACATACAGCAATGATTAGTTATGCATGATGTAATATTTCAAATCCACATGTGAGAACTGGACTAGATTTCAAGTCCGAGCAATTTGATCAAGTCCGAGGGGAAGCCGAGGACTGGATCAAAATGCAAGGACCGTTGAAATCAGAGTCCAGTCCGAATTGGAGGATTTGAAATGACATCTCATACGAATATTTCACTGCTTAAAGTGAGGTGAATTAATTTTGACCAGTCCAATTAGAACTGATTAATTTTGGTCCAGTCCTAGGACTGGATCAGTATACTTCACCAGGTATCCAGTATTATCATGTGAGCAAAATATAGCAATATGTGCTAATTTACTCATGAAATATTAATGAGTTTCAGATTGATTTCTAACTGAGATGTTCACGGTTAATGAACGTATCCGAATAACTGAAAAGTACTGTACTTACAAATGTGCTAGGTCGTCGTCTACAAACATGAGTCCAACTAATTTGATGAGCATCTCTCCAATCTAAAATGTATGTAAATCATAAAGTAATGTCAATGCCAAATATGTGCGGGCAACGGCTATCCCACAATGCTCCACAGTCCATAGTCATACAACTTTCGAAAAAAAAAATTGACCAATGCCAATCGATCAGATTGGACGAAACGGGTAATTAAAAATTAGTTAATTAACAGTTGTTCATATCATCATATGTAATTTGTCTTAAATTGGTTTTGTTTCAAAAGCATCGTTATACAATTAGTACTAATATCCCTATTTTTACGTGCTTGGTGATTTAAACTGGCTGTCAAGCCGCGTCTGCTCGAGTTAGGAAACCTTTAGTTAATTAAATAGTATAGTTAACTCTAAAACGAACGATTCTAATTTGGGTAACTTTCCACTAATTATAATTAACTTTAACTTCCTTTGGATACAACCAGTTGCAGGTTGGTACAAACAGTGACGTGCTCGGAGGGGGACCATCCCCTGCGAGGGTTTTTAGGGGCGCAAAAGGGTTTTTTTGGGTGGGGCGAAAGCCCGAAACTGCAACTAAAATTGTAAATTATAAATCTTAAAGGTGATGTCCACTCTGCCGTTCTGCGCATCAGTTCTGCTCATAACAAAGGGGGACCCCCACATACAAACATTGCCCAAATTTTGCATCTTTCGAACTTTTTTGAAATGAAACGTACAGTTTATGTTCATTTACAAGTGTAGCGAACCAGAAAAGTGTTAGATATTCAGTTAGTATATCATACTAATTGACGACGTCAAGGGAAAGATTGACCCCTGCCAATTTGGCTGTTTGAAAGGAACGTCGACCACCTATTGCCTCCTTGATATGCTCCACTCTTGGCTCTCCCATTTGGACTCGGACTCCAACGGTAAACACATTCGTATTAGCTTCTTAGATTTCTCGAAGGCCTTCGACCGCATTAGATACAATATTCTCATTGAAAAACTGCTAGACCTGGGCGTTAGGCGGTCTTTAATACCCTGGATTATAAACTTTCTTTGTGATCGAAGACAACGAGTTAAAATTAGAGAATCCTTTTCCAGCTGGCTCCCAGTGACAGCCGGGGTCCCCCTAGACTTGCCCAAGTCGCTCGCTAGGGACCGCGCGTAGCAAGAAGGGAGCGCTTGAGAAAGACGGAAGCGAGCGACTTGTGTCACTTGCCTGATTTTGAATCTTACTGAAAAATTTGGCGCGAAAATCAATTATGAGATAGTGGGCGTTCACCATGTCAATTTCACTAGTTACTCGCTGGGGCCTTTCGTGGAGTGGCCAAAATATTTCAAACAATTTCGTTAAAATTTTCAACGAATTGTAGCTGTTTTTTACGGTGGCCCCTATGTGCAATACACAAAAGAAAATATTAGTGCACAAACAAGAGTTGAAATCCACAAACAAAATATTCAATACACAATTCGAAGTATATGTTCACGTAAATACGTTTCAGTGCACGATAAATTCGGTAAATACGCAACAACATATCTCACAACATCTGAATAAATTTCGTGCGAAACGTGAACACGAAAACTCGATACGCAAATATATTTTATTCTCAATACACAACAAAATGTTGCATCTGCGAACATTAGGGATCATGTAGGAACATTTTGCGAACACCCTAATAGTCCCATTAGTACCTTGTTTGTCAATGTTTGTATCTCTTATTCTCTTCCCGAAGCACGCGTGTGGTTTGGCAGTCGGAATTTGCGTTTGTTCACAAATTTACATAGTGTTTTATCTTAAAAATATGTATTGCTGCTCTTGTGGCAAGGAATTACAAAGTGCCTTTGTGTTCTGCCCATCATGCGGAACGAGAAAGGGCGAAACAAGCGGTATCATTAGTCCGTCAAATACAGAAACGGACAGCGCCAATGCAGATAGCAGCAAAAGAAAACGGCAATCAGCAAGCACGAATCCTCCATCGTTTTCGGCGTACATGAAGCAGAAGGAGACAGAGAGACAGTCTCATTTCAAGCCAAATAAAAAGAAGGGCCGCGTGGGAGAAACACAAGCCAAAGCTAAAGATGAAGTTATCATTAACGTTGGCTTGATGGAATACGAATATGGCGAGGCCAAAATCCAGCGTGGCAAGTCATTTCCTGTGAAATTGTCCAGAGATATGGGTTATGACGAGGTAAGAGAGAGAGCGTTGAAAAAGTGGGAGGATTACGACAGAACTTTTTCCAGAGATCGTGGATACGTCGTAACGTTTCAAGATGGAAAATTGGCGAAACAGATTATTACCTGGCAGCTCAGTGGAATTCACGCTGAGAAAATACAAAGAAGGGCTTGGCAAGAGCTATAGTAGAATAGTCCTGTACCTTTGCCCTGCGACGGAAAAAAGGATAGAGAGTACAATGCCAATAACAAACTGGTTAAGTGAAGAAGAAGCAGAGATAGAGAGGGTTTTATGGGACTCTGACAGTAATGTAGATGATTTCGCTGATGATTTCATTGATTCTTCCACTGAGGCATCTGCCACTCCTGTTCCTGTTCCTTCTCCTCACCAGCCTGAGGTTATACAGCTTTTTGAGGTTGCTGACTTTTTGTAAGTACTTCTGTTTTGTATCAGTCAAATCCAAGTGTCCCCCTCCCCATGGGCAACTGCGGGGCATTTTCCTGTCAAGCACGTCCCGGGGGGTGGGAATGCAAACCTTTTCCCAGGGGTGGGGCATTTGAAATTAAGAATATGGAGGTTTCTAAAGTCTCTAGAATTAAGAGGCAAGATGCCACAAACTTCCATGATAAACCAGAGTACAGTATATAATAAAACCAGTCAAACGGAACGATCACACCACAAACTGTCAAACTTTTAATATAAATGCACACTAGAGTGTGACGACCAGTGCTTTCACTATTCAATTTAAAAATTCATGTGATTTGTGCCAAAATTTTCTTGAAAGTGGAAACGCTGGACTGGGCTAGAGTTGACGCACAATGGTGGATTAATAGGCGATAAATTTTTCTAAAAATACAATCCAATTATTTCCGGGGTAGGGGATTTGCTACAGATTTATTGCCCCACGGCAGGGTTTTTGCACATGGTTTTTATCCCCAGCCCTGGGAATTTGTTGTATCTTTCAAAAAATTGGAACAAGCCCGGGGGGGGGGCGGGCATGCTGGGATTGACTGATACATTTGTTTGCAATCAATCTGGGAGTTTCTTTTCAGACACATTTGCAGGGAGCTTATTTGAGAGGGGTGGGGGCTTTCCTCAAATATCCTCTGTTATTAATTAATTTATATCTCTCATTTCCATATAATTTTAGACCTATTGGCTTGGATGAGAATAGTGCTATGCAACAGGCAATAGATGAAAGCATTCAACAACTTGGGAATACAGAGGAGGAAGAAGTGAAAAATAAAGATCCAAATGACCTGGAAGATGAGAGTGTTGTCATTTTGATTAAAGATCATGCCAATAAAATGGTTAAAGGAGATCCACGAAATGTTGTGGTGAGCAGATTAAGTATCTGGGAAACAGCAAAACCGTATTTCTTACGACAGAGATTTCTGCAAAGAACTGGTTTGTTACGGTTGTTTCTCTAACTGCAAGAGAGTCCTAATAAACTATTACTACATTTGAAGGCCAAGAAGATGCAGTTGACAATGGTGGTCCTCGTCGGGAATTTTTCCACTTACTTCTTGGAGCGATGTCTAAAGAGAGTGGGACTTTATTCAGTATGTTCATTTGAATTTATCTTTACTAGTATGATTGTCCATAGGTGGCAACTGTTAGTTGTTGTTTATGACTATTTATCGCCTCCCTTAAAATTAATTGTACTTTATATGACCCCCCTCCACGGTAATTTGCAGTGCTGATGAGCTCCGTTTTCTGTGATGCGAGAACAAAACACTAAACGCCCATTTGGGAAACATAATGGCTGTGTGCGTGCGCACACGCCGGTTTATTGATAAATAATGTCCAATAAATTATATTTACATAAATGAAATAACAGATATCACAGAAAAGGTGGGGGCATTTTCCTGCCACCTTGAACATATATATGATAAGTTAGCTAGCAGTGACAGAAGCAGCAGGCGACCGAAAGAGAAATGGGAGGGAAGGGAGGGTGCAATCGAAAGACGAAACTGACTTGAGATCTTGCTCCAATGACAGCTTCAGAGGAATGAATCACGCACAGACAACTCGCGCTTATATATGTCCCATGTATTACCATGCGATTGCTTCGTGAAGTAAAATCCCGCAATGTAACAACTTTTCCCTGTGATATTCTGTCGCGTGCGCTAGGTCACTATGTAGCTAAATGCCTATACTATATGTCTAAATAGAACGCGGGAGGCAATAAAATTACTATTCGGCGAGCAAATAGTGCCTTTATAATATACGTAATATACGACTTGGCTGCGCGACCGTGATATTATTATTATTTACATATTTGTGTTCCAATGACTTTCTTAACTCGTCAATATTGTTGCTTTTGGAATGGTTACGTGGACTTGTTTTTATATTATGGACATAAATTTTTGCTAACTCTGGTATAATAGTGTAAATAATCTACGTTTATTTCTCTGCGGTATGGAAAAGACTTGCTGTATTAATAAATTAAGCAACATTTTGCTGTCTGAATAAAGTTTACTTGGTTTTCGTACGATTTAGCAAGTGTTATTTTTCAAAATTAGGTAATTTGTAAGGACAAATAAGGCATTATATGATTAGTACATGATGTTTTCTTATTCCTATAGGTTTAGGTCTTCTAATTGTATTGTATGAGTGGGTTTGGTGTGCAAGCCTTGTAAGGGGACTTAGTGTCCTTTTGCTGTATACCTGCCTTAGGAGTTATGGCAAATTTTTAAAATTAAAATAAAAAATAAAAATAAGTCACAGATAAAGAAAAGACTGATCAGACAGAGAATGGGATGAGATGGTGGGCAGATTAAAAAAAAAAACAATTCCTGGTACACGTATTAGTCAACAGTCAACCTGAAGCTTTACTTGCATGACATTGATCCATTGATGACATGCACTTACTAATTGTTTTAATTTGTTCTATTAATGTTATCCTCGCATTAATGCATCAATGACTGTCCATATAACATTAACTGGTTGTTTTGTAGAATTATGTTCCAGCGACTTTCTTAACTCGGCATATTTTTGTTCCAATGACTTTTGACTCGGCATGGATGCGTCCGTAACGTGTATACTTATGTTCAAATGGCTTTCTTAACTTGGCATGGACGCGTCCATAACATGTATATTTGTGTTCCAATTACTTTTTTAACTTGGCATGGACGTGCCCATGCACAACATGTATATTTATGTTGTAATGACTTTCTTAACTTGGCATGGACACGTCCATAACATGTATATCTATGTTGTAATGACTTTTTTTTTCTATGTTGTAATAACTTGGCATGGACGCATCCATGACATCCACTATGTGTTTTATATGCTTATACAGTATATGTTTCGATGACTTGTTTAACTTGACTTGGCTGCGCCGTGTCGTTTGCTATGTGTTTTACATATTTTTGTTCTAATGACTTTCTTAACTTGTCAATATTGTTGCTTTCAAAATTAGGCCATTTTTTTAAGGTATTATAATAAATATGCCCTAACGATTTTTATAAAAATAATTGTTTGGCATTTTTGGCACTATTTAAGAGTTTTGACAAACGTAAATTATGCAGAACAATGCAAAACTACGCACGGATTAACGTAATTCTCCTGAGTAGGAATCATCATTCAAAAAGTGGGATTAATTGGGCACAAATGTTGAAACGAAGTCTAAATTTTTGGCCAAAATCTCTTAATGAAAAGATTTTTTCCAAAAATGTTGCTATAAATACAATATACCACAACTCTGGAACGTGTTTTATTCATATAATGATAAATGGACATTATGACTACTATGACTATTGTCCCCGAGCTGACGGCGCGAAGCGCCGTGCGAGGGTACTAATTCCCCCCGGCTATTTACACCCGGGGAAACGAAAGCATTAGCGGAGTCTAAAGTTCATCAATTATCGCGGGCGTGGGTCACCAACGGTGTTGGGTAGGTGGTCATCGTCACTGATCTCAAAAATATGGTGGACTATCACGAATAGCGGACACTGATTGGTCCAATTTAAAGTTTGCATTATAACGACTGCATGACGACAGCGACATAGCAAACATTTCTTGATTTGATGATTGATAAATTTCTTGCAAATATATTTCATTTTGCTCGCATTTTTGCAAGATTTTGTAAATTTCAAAAGCTCTCTGAGAAAGAAACTACGAAAGAATCGGCTAAAAGAAGGGAGCCGACGTTAACGAAGGTAAGTTTGTTTTAAATATTGATTTCATAATGGATTTAAAACCCGACGGCCTTTGCGTATGTGAAACAACTAAACAAAACAGCATATAATTTCAGTGTATCTTTAATATTGATTCCTTTCTTATGATATTGAATTTTTTAAATAAAAAAGAAAGCAAAGTTATTTGCAAACTCAAAGTTTATCGATAAAGCCATTTTAAAAGGCAGTTTAGTTTTATAACACTATAGTGACTTTGAAAACGTTTTGCGAAGCGTTTGTGGTTGAATTTTACCTTAAATTGAGGCTTATATTACGTATAATAACATATCTAACATATATATGTTGGGAAATTAATAATTTTGTAATTAAAAGTGATATTTTTAGGCGATTTTTCATTTGTAAGAATATTCTTAAAAAATTATCGTGTTACCATGACAACTACTTTAGATACTTCATGTTCGGAAAATACAATGGTTTCGTCAGCAAGGCGAGGGTTTCTGCATGCATGTATTTTCTAGTATAGATCTATACAGGATTTTATATTTGCAGGCTGAGCTCACATGCAGATGCCATATCAAAGAGTGGCCTTGTGAAATTCAGGCTAGGAGCCTTTATTAAATCCATTATTCTGATTAACTATTTACAGTGTCATATCATCATAAAATTTAGACTAAGTGTAAATTCACTCACAGAGATTTTTGAGAGCTTTCCCAGCTTCGTTTCTCAATAAAGGCCGCGTCCAGAAAAATATTATTGAATTGACGCTTGAATTAAGCATGAGCAACGTCAACGCCCAGATGTTTATGATTTCCACTTTAAATTTATCAAGGCCATGGGGGAGGACAGCAAGAATCCCGACAAAGAAACAAATTGCAAAGCACATGACGGCCAAAAAACAAGATTTTGCAAGTCTTATTTGCTTTAAGAAATCCTGTTTACATTGTCTATATGATACAGACCGTTCAGCTGAATTGTTTAAATCATCGGCATTTCCTGGACATCTTCTCTTTCTGATCGTCAGAAAAATTTTAGTGTAGACAAATACAGCAACAAAAAGGAAAATGAACAAAAACATTGATAAAAAAGTACCCAGCAAGTCAATTCTGACAGTGCATGCATAAAGCAACAACCGTTAACATGAATGATGTGCCACAAGCATGAAACACCACTATTCTTTTCTTTGTTATTAATGTTCGGTGTTTTAAAGGATGTAAAACACCAAAGTACCTTTCCACTGTCATGGCGAGTAAGGTTGTTACTGATATTAAAGGCGGGAGTGGAAAAAGTCTTTCCATTAACAATATTTCAGTGCAATCTAGAGATCTTGTAGTTGCTATCATGAAGCTACAGTAAATGGCTAACGAAGGTAAACTGATAAGGCCAACAGTCAAATCAGCAACTGATTGCATCATTATCAAGAAATAGGAAATGTTCTCTTTCAGTTGGGAGCATTTAAATATGGTGACGACAGATACTCCATTCAGTATTACAGTAGCAATGATCAAGAGCGAACATGTTACAGATATAGCTGTGACATGGTTAATAAACAATGCTTGAGATGGAAATTTAACGATGAATTCCTTAACATTCAATAAAGAACATATTTTTAAAAAGTTTGAACTTTCGTTTACGATACTCATTCTTGACGAAGAATCTCCTCAGTTGTGTCTGTGCAAAAGCTGTCTGCAAATTTAGTCCTATTTGTTGGATGGCTTTCAATATTCTCAATTAAAGGCATTATATAGCTGTTAAGAACATTGTGAAATTCTCGCGTCTGCTCCATGCAATATTGATTTTCCTATTAGTTGAATAAGTTAACCGTGACAGTAAGAAGATTATCATAAAAAACGGCATTGCATTAATTTATATTGTTTCTAAAAAACGTCCTTTTTGATATCAAATTGAATACAGTTAAGTGGGAAGAAAGGCCTGTACAGGTTTTGTGCGACTCGGGAAATCAAATGTTTTTCTAGATTTCTACTGGAAAGTATAAAATATGTGTTAAAAACCATCTGCTACAGTATGTTAATGGTTGACAAAATGTCCCACGTACCTTTTTATATGATTTTAATACTTGCTAATTATATTCTAATTTTCCCCCGCCATTATTAGAAAATGTTATTTTAATTTAATTTACATGCATTATTTTTAATTTGCTGTTAGTATAGGTAATATATAGGATATGGTTTCTAGTGCAATTTGGATAAAAACATGCACGAGTGAGTTTTTCAAAGAGCATCAAAATAGCACGAGTTCGAAGGACGAGTGCTATATGAGATCTTTGAAAAACTCGCGATCGCTTGTTTTATCTACCATTATGTATTAATAATATACATAAAAATGTCCGAGACAATTGTAGTTTTCACTTAAGCAGGTTTTCCACTTGCGAAATTTGTCGCGCGAATCTTTTGTCTTGTACAGTAAGCTCTCGGCTGGAACTAATTAGATCAGTTTTAATACATTCTTTTCAATTTTAACAATAAAAAATTCGCTTCGCGCGAAAAAATTCGCTAGTAGAAAACAGGCTTTACGTTAATCAGAACAATGCAACTGGAATTCAGGCTGTGATTACATGGTTTGAAAAGTTTCGCTGAATTTCGTATTATTTTCGCTTCGCTCGTTTCATTATCACGCATCTGACATACGTGTGCGGCGTACAGTACTGCCATTATGAGTACTGCCAAGAAATAACTTATCAAAAACCGCGTGCAAGACGCGCGTCCACGAGCGCCCGCGACTGTGGACATGTTACGACTTACGGGTCGTGAAACAGCTCCACTACCCGTCAAATTCGTACGGTCCGTAAATAGAAGCTGAGGATGCGTAATCATTCATATTATTGCTACGTTCTTTAAAACGATATGCATTGCGCGAAGTCAATTATAGAACTTCAATCATTATGTCTATTACTTCGTTCTATACTGAAAATCATTGCGCGAACTTAATAACTTGAAACATTATATATCCTTCAGAGCACAGCCTCCATATAGATGGAAAATTTGGGCAATGTTTATATCTGCGGGTCTCCCTTTGTTATGGGCAGAACGGACCTTATAGCATCTTTAAGATATTATATAATAAATATGTCCTAACGATTTTTAAAAAAATAATTGCTTGGCATTTTTGGCCAAATAATTAAGAGTTTTGACAAATGTAAATTTTGCAGAACAATGCAAAACTACGCACGAATTAACGTAAATCTCATGAGTAAAAATCATCTTTGCATGGATAAAAATATATATTTGTGTTCCAATTACTTTTTTAACTTGGCATGGACGCGCCCATGCATAACATGTATATTTATGTTGTAATAACTTTCTTACCTTGGCATGGACACATCCATAACATGTATATCTATGTTGTAATGACTTTTTAACTTGGCATGGACGCATCCATGACATCCACTATGTGTTTTATATGCTTATACACTATATGTTTCGATGACTTGTTTAACTTGACTTGGCTGCGACCGTGTCGTTTGCTATGTGTTTTACATATTTGTGTTCTAATGACTTTCTTAACTTGTCAGTATTGTTGCTTTTGGAATGGTTACGTGGACTTGTTTTTATATTATGGACATAAATTTTTGCTAACTCTGGTATTAAAATAATAGTGTAAATAGTCTACGTTTATTTCTCTGTATGGAAAATAGTTGCTGTATTAATAAATGCTGTATTAATAATCTGAATAACTTTTACTTGGTTTTCCTACAATTTAGCAACAGTGTTATTTTTCAAAATTAGGCCATTTTTTTAAGGTATTATAATAAATATGCCCTAACGATTTTTATAAAAATAATTGTTTGGCATTTTTGGCACTGATACTAGACTTTTGACAAACGTAAATTATGCAGAACAATGCAAACCTACGCACGGATTAACGTAATTCTCCTGCATGAGTAGGAATCATTATTCAAAAAGTGGGATTAATTGAGCACAATTGTCCAAACGAAGTGTAAATTTTTGGCTAAAATCTCTTAATAAAAATACAATATACCACAGCTCTGGAACGTGTTTTATTCGTATAATTATAAATGGACATTATGACTACATTTAACGCTATTATAAACATATTCTGTATAGATCTATACAGGATTTTATATTTGCAGGCTGAGCTCACATGCAGATGCCATATCAAAGAGTGGCCTTGTGAAATTCAGGCTAGGAGCCTTCTTTATTAAATCCATTATTCTGATTAACTATTTACAGTGTCATGTCATAAAATTTAGTGTAAATTCACTCACAGAGACTTTTGAGAGATTTCCCAGCTTCGTTTCTCTATAAAGGCCGGGTCCAGAAAAATATTATTGAATTGATGCTTGAATTAAGAATGAGCAACGTCAACAACGCCCAGAAGTTTATGATTTCAGCTTTAAATTTATCAAGGCCATGCATGGGGAAAGGCAGCAAGACAAGGAAATAAAATGCAAAGCATGTGACTGCTAAAAAACAACATTTTACAACTCTTATTTTTCTTTAAGAAATCTCGTTTACATTGGACAGATTTAGATTGAGGACGCGGACGTCAAAGACGACGTGAAAATGGCGTGTTGTGCCCATGTATGTATATGCCTCGCCATAATGCCATTTTGACGCCATTTATTTCGCATCCTTGATGTGCTCGTCCTCGATCTAAATATGTCTATTGTCTATATGAGACAGACCGTTCCGCTGAACTATTTAAATCAACGGCATTTCCTGGACGTTCTCTCTTTCTGATGGTCAGAAAAATTTTAGTGTAGACAAATACAACAACAAAAAGGAAAGTCAACAAAGACATTGAATAAAAAGTACCCAGAAAGTCAATTCTGCATGACAGTGCATAAAGAAGCAATTGTTAACATGAATGATGTGCCACAAGCATGAAACACCAATATTCTTTTCTTTGTTATTAATGTTCGGTGTTTTAAAGGATGTAAAACACCAAAGTACGTTTCCACTGTCATGGCGAGTAAGGTTGTTATTGATATTAAAGGCGGGAGTGCAGCAAGTCTTTCCAGAAACAATATTTCAGTGCAATGTATACATCTTGTTGTTGCTAACGTAAAGCTACGGTATAAATGATAAACGAAGGTAAACTGATAAGACCAACAGTTAAATCAGCAACTGTTGCATCATTATCAAGAAATAGGAAATGTTCTCTTTCAGTTGGGAGCATTTTAATATGGTGACGACCGATACTCCATTCAGTATTACCGAGTAGCAATGATCAAGAGCGAACATGTTACATATATGGCTGTGAAATAGTTAATAAACAATGCTTGAGATGGAAATTTAACGATGAATCCCTTCTTAACATTCAATAAAGAACATATTTTTAAAAAGTTTGAACTTTCGTTCACGATACTCATTCTTGACGAAGAATCTCCTCACTTGTGTCTGCAAAAGCTGTCGCACTCAGTTAAATGTAGTCCTATTTGTTAGATGGCTTTTAATATATATATATTCTCAATGAAGGGCATCAGCTGTTAAGAACATTGTGAAAGTCTCACGTCTGCACCATGCAATATTGATTTTCCTATTAGTTGAACAAGTTAGAAGATTACATAATAATTCTAAAAAAACCTCATTTTGATATCAAATTGAATATAATTAGCCTAAGTGGGTAGAAGGACCGGGGGGTTTTGTGCGACCCCGGAAATCAAATGTTAACTGGATTTCTAGAAAGTATAAAATATGTGTAGAAAACCATTTGCTACTGTATGTTAACAGATTAGCTAAATGTCTGACGTGCCTTTTTATATGATTTTATACTTGCTAATCATATGCTATAATTTGCTAATAACATTGCATTTGCTGTAACATTTGCATCGCTAGCTCTATATGCGCGCCTGTGAACGCCTCCAGAATACTTCATGTAAACATTTTTATAGCACCTGGGGACGAGGTAGGCACTTACTGTAAATGCATGACAAGTGAGATAACCAGATGAAGACCCATGCTTATGGTTAGAAAGCTTTGCTTGCAAATAAATATCGTTACAGAGCTTTCCTCCTTGCGAAAGATTATGTTGTAATGTGCGTTTTTCATTGTGTTACGTGATCTTTTTGTAGATATCAGCAACTGTAGTACGGCCAGCGCAAGAAGTACGGGATCATTGAACAACGGGGTAGGTTCTCACGAATATGAAATATTCCCGACCGGTGCGGACTCATGACACTTAATATGTGTGAAAAAAGTCCGTCAACAGACTCAACACTCTACCGAAAGTCGTTAGTTTTCTCCGGTTTCCTCCGACAGCGAATCTTGACAGGGTGACACTTCAACTCGCTCTGGTTGAGCTGCGTCCTCCCCAATTTAGCTTTGTTCTCAGCTGCAAGTAAGTATAATTAACTCTCCCCCACTTACCTTACCTGGAATACAGTTACGTAGGCCTATATTGAGTCCGGTTTTAGCTAATATTAGCTTAGACATGTCTTGGCAATTCATTGCCAAGATCAAAATCCATAGATTGAATCAAACAATTCTGAAAAAATAATGCATACTGTACAGCAGAATGTGGAAAAAATATAACACCAAACGAACCGTACAAAATTGCATGCCTGGCAGAAACCTCCCCACCTACACACCCGCCTGGCCTTCTCGTTTCTAATAGTCCGTCTCTTGTTTCTATGGTTTGGGAATATAAGGCTTACAGTAGCTTATACAGACAGTATACATACTGTATAAACATGATAAAACAGTGAAATGGTGCAAGTTATTCGCTTTTTATAGTCTAAACAGGGATATAAAAACACGAAAAATTCGCAGCAATAGACCTTATATACCGGGTGGGGCAAAAAAGTACGACTGTTTGAATCGCTGAAAAATCAAAAGTAAGAGAGCAATGACACTAAAACAAGTTTATTGGCATTCAGCAATGCCCAACTTAAATTTTGATATATACCATGCGCATTTCGATGCCATATTGACAAAGATACATGCATTTAAACAGGTGTAAACATTTTTGGAACTGACGAAATTAGCTAAAAATAGCTTATTAAATATTAATCCAAACAACATGCAATAACTTGTGTTGAGACGCATTATATTTTATTGTCAGTACGTTCTCGCTTGCGGTTTAAAAACAATCGCCTATATTCATCAGTAAATGCAAGTCCCCCAGCACGAATGCAACGTCTTGCCCGTGAAATCATGCAATCGAAAGAATTTTGGATCATTTGCTGTTTCAAGTTGCGGCATGCTGTAACAATCTCTTCACGAAGCTCGAACTTACAACACAGTTCAACTAAGCTCCCCTATAGTTTTACAAAAACGTATTTACATCGTGAAATACCTTTAAAGATTGTGAAATATATTGATTACACTCAATTTGCAGGCATTACAATATAACTGTGTTCCCTTTAAGGTTTTCGTTACGCCGAGAAAGCCTTGTGGCAAGGCAAAAAGTAAAGGGCCTAACGAGGTATCTGTCTTCAGTTAGCTCAATATATCATGTATTAAATTTATAATGTATATATAAATTGTCATTCATTACGATACTGATAATCTTGAATGTTGTGCCATGCAGTGTAGCTACAGTAGCGAAGTATACAATTTGCGGGCTGTACCTGAAAGATATAGCGAAATAACTTCCGGACGGACAGCCATCGCTCCAAACGTCGAAGTTTGCTCTGTTTTTTGGGTAGTTGCGTCATTTGGGACTCGAAATTCGAATAATATTATAAAAGTTCCAGTGGTTATATAATGATATTTTTACATCTTGTATTAATTAAGCATCCTATAAAGTTTGCTACACTTACTAACCCGAGATCAATCTGTAATAAGACATTGCATGATTATCAAGGACTTTGTTGTTGAACACGCGATGTTGATATAATGGCTGAAACCTGGCTTCATAAATCTGGTGATGAATTAATAATTCGTTAGTTATGTCCCAGAGGATATAAATTTGTCCATAAACCGAGAACCACACGCTGTGGGGGAGGTGTGGGTTTCCCATACGAAGACTGAAGTATTGCATTAGCAATTCTTCGTATGACAAAGAATTTAGATCATTTAGAATATTTCCTTTGTGAGTACGAAGTCCATCAGATTCCCTGTTATTATATTTATCGCCCACCGCCTTCGTCAATTAATGGTTTGTCTGTCAATTTGTTTTAAGAGGAATTCTCAAGTCTGCTCGAAGAGATCGTTTTATCCCCTTCGGAATTTTTCTTCTTGGAGATTTCAATTTTTCGTATTGATGATCAAAATGACATTCAAGCAAAACAATTTCTAGATTTAATTGAGTCGTTCAACTGTAAGTAACTTGTGAACCAAGCAACGCATATACGTGGACATTTGTTGGATTTGGTCTTGGTTAGATCTGATATTGATGATTCATTTCTTAGTGATCTATGCGTTTATGATCAGGAAATATCTGATCACTCGGCGATTATAGCTTCTGTTTGGATATGGCTAGACCATCGCGTCAGAGAAAGAAAAAGGTATTAATTTTAATACTTTTAATGCAGACATTCATGAATCAAATTTCTTGAATGACACGAATGACATATTATCTACTTGTAATCAGTATGAAGAAGTCTTCTGGAAGATGTCTTCTGGAAAAGCATGCACCCATAAAGCAACGTACAATTACCATCCGTCCCAAAGAAGCTTGGTATAATTCTAGTATTACAGAAGAAAAAAGGCTTTGTCGACAACTTGCAAGAAGATGGCGCTCGTCTAAAATTCTGAGTGATAGGACAGCTTATGTTAACCAACGTAAAGCTGTTAACAAACTGATTTATGAATCTATAAGCAAGCATATTACCACAACTTTATTAACTGAAAATGCCACCAATTCCAAATTATTATTCAAAACAGTAAATAGGTTGTTTCAGAAAAACATTGATCTAAAAGATATCCAAAAGCTTATATCGATCCAAGTCTGGCAAATTCGTTTGCTGACTATTTTACTGCTAAAATTGAAAAAGTTCAAGTCAAAATATGTCATGCAAGAAATACTTTTGATCCACCTTGTGTTGTTGACGAGAAGCCTCTGTCCTCATTTTGTCCGTTTAAACAACTAACGGACTTGGATGTCAGGGAACTTTTGAACAATTCTAAGATGAAATCCTGCCTGCTTGACCCCATTCCAGTAGCAGTGCTGAAGGAATGTTACAAAACCTTACTTCCTGTATATACTATAGGATAATAAATCTCTCATTGGAAAATGCAACAATGCCAGAGCGCTTGAAGGTTGCAATGTTAAATCCAAAGAATGATCAATGCTGACTATGAAATATTTTCTAACTTCCTAACTAATTTTCGATTTCCTGTTTCCAATCTCAAATTTTTTTCGAAGCTAATTGAAAAAGCAGTGTTCATTCAACTTAATGAATAAAAACAATTTGCATGAAGCTTTCCAATCTGCTTATAAAGGCATTTCATAGTACAGAGACAGCTCTACTACGGATGCAGAATGATATTTTGCAGTCATTGGACAGGAAAGAGCCGGTTATCTTGGTTCTTGATTTATCGGCTGCATTTGACACCATAAGTCATGACATTTTACTGTCTAGATTAGATCATATCTTCTTTGGTTTAGATCATATTTATCATCCCGCCGTCAATTTGTAAATATCAATGGAACATTTTCCTCTACTCGTGATTTGAAAACCGGTGTTCCACAAGGCTCAGTCCTTGATCCGTTCTCTATTTGTTGTATACAGCCCCTATAGCAGATATTATTAAACGTCATCATCTTAAATATCACATATTTGCTGATGATACTCAACTTTATGTGTCTTTTGAAGCTGATAGTCATGCTGGTTCTGCGAAGACACGTATTGAGAATGGACCATTTGCATTATAGACTAAATTTTGAACTAAACAAAAATTTCATCACAGCTTGAAAGAGCATCATAAAATTAGTAATATTCCAAAGAATCGTTGCAAAATGTTGTAAAATGCGGATAATATAGCCATGCGAAGTTTGCCGTTTTTCAGCCATTTTGTATTACGCACGGGAAATTGACAGCCCAATCGGGTGTTGGGGCATCAATTTCCCGTTTGTAATACAAAATGACTGAAAATTGCAAATTTCGCAAGGATATATTATCCGCATTTTACAACATTTCGCAACGAAACTTTGGAATATTACTAATTTTGTGATGCTCTTTCAAGCTGTGATGAAATTTTTGTCTAGATCAAAATTTAGTCTATAATGCAAATGGTCCATTGCATAGCTGATATACGCCAATGGATGATGCTCTTCAATGGATTAAAATTGAATGAAGATAAAACACTCTCGGTTGTCGTGCACTCTAAGTTTCGTCCTCGCCCTTTACTTGATCAAATCAAAGTTGGAGATGAATTGATTCCCTATATTGTTACTGCTACTAGTCTTGGTGTCATGCTAGATGAAACATTCTCTTTTGATGAGCATGTCAAACAAGTTTAAATTGCCAAATAAATTGTTTTAGGCATCTAAAAGCTGCTTTCGTCTTTCGGAAACAGGTTAACGCCATATATTGTTGCTTCTTTTGCTTTTAGAGGAATAGTAATTTAATTTCTATAATTTCTTAGAATTGTGCTTTAATTTCTTCAATTTTTTCTTCGATTATTTGTTTGCAAGTGGATTTTCGGCAGCCAGCTTTTGAAAGCAATAGTTACTGCTTTGAGCAGTAACTATTTCCTCAGAGTTACTGCTGAGGGAGCCAATCAGAACACTTGAAAGCCATTTTTCAATACTGAATTTATACTAAATATCCATAGTGTGGAAATTGCAATTTGTATGAAAATTGGATTTCCATACTGTTTCCAACAAAGATCCATACTATATTTCCATAGTAAGGATTCAGTTTGAAAAAGAATTCCAGTGCGAAGGCTGTGGGCAAGAATGCTGCACCTCCCTTAAAATATTCCCCACCTTATAGTAGCAAGGGGGAGGCCAATTACATAGTCACAAACTTTCTCAGTGGACAGTGATCCTTGTTGACTCGAGTTTGACCCCTTCTGTTTTGCTTGAATACTGTATTTGGGGCAGACCTGTATCCTTCAATCTCATCATCGCAATCCCTTCTCCACTCCCATAAAAAATGAACTGTCACTACATTTCAGACAGGATCAAATGATGAATTGAGCACACTATCTTCAAAGATCGCTGAGTTAGAAGAAGAGATTAAGAAATTACGAGCTGAAAATGAAATACTACAGAAGGTAAAACTTCACGTGAAATATTACAAGATTTTATTACCATGTAATTAATAAAACTTTTAAAATTATAATCATTCACGTAATTTGAATAGATTGAAGACCTACTGTACATGTGTATAATATACATTAAGTTTACTTTTAATTTATTTTGTTTACAAGATCTGCCATATATATATATATATATATATATATATATATATATATATATATATATATATATATATATATATATATATATATATATATATATATATATATATATATATATATATATATATATATATATATATATATATATACATGCAGTATATGCATGTATGTTAGATGGTGTCTTATTTTCCCCACTGTCATGTGTCCTGTTGTCTTCCTAGTTAAAAGGTGGTGAGCTGAGTGAGGATGAACGACAGGCGATGGAGTCTAACCTCGCTGCGTTAAAGGAAGAAGTAGAGAAATTAAGAAAACAGATTGAAGATGAAATGGAAAGGAATAAGGTTGTCCCAGTAAATGATAACTAAGTTAAAATTATAGTGCAATAGTGCATGGATAATAATTCAGTTCCTAATAACGGTTTAATCAGTTTAGTGTGAACTGATAAAACTAAGTAACTGAGTGTTTAAACATGTTTTTGATCATTTCGGGGATGTAAGCTTGTAGTCAACACAACATTACGTTTTATAGGTCGTACACGTATGTCCCAAAGGTTATGGTTATTATGTAGTTGTGGCAGCATTTTATCAAATACAAAAACACTGTTATTACTATTTCATATTAAGTCAGTTTCTAAGATGAAGTATAAAAATGTTGTTACGTATGTGATTATATGTACAGAAATTGCCTCTTTCGTTTCTAGTTTCTTGTTCCAATCTTTTATTGTTTCCTCTCTTGCTTTTGCTACTTCCCTGTTGGTTCTCTTTTTTACCTCTATATACCCTCTATATACATGTTTTTCGACTCCTCTGTCTTGTTTACTTGCCAGTTCTCAAATACTGACGTTTTGTTTGATTGCATTTGGGATTCTTCATGCCACCACCTGGTTTCTTGATTTTATCGTTCCCGAGGTCTTTCCACATTTCTATTTTGTAACGTATTTTTAACCACCTCTGCATATTCCGTTTTCTTCTCTCCTCCCAGCTTCCACACTTTCATTTTTGTGCTTCTTTCCAACACTCACACAAACTTATTCCAACTCCATTCTCGCCTTGTTTGTTTCCACTATAGAACAATTTATAGCCATTTCCAAACTTCTTTGCACTCATTCCTGTCCACTTTCCTTCTTATAGACACACGCAATTTGCACTCTTCTTTAGCAGAGCAATATCATCTCGTGCAGGAACCTATCCCTAATTTCAGATCCCTTTTTCTCTATATCAGTCAGCATTTATTTAAAGGCACAGTTCAGCCTTTTGAATGATGGTTTTTAAGGCGCATTACAACCCTTTTGATTGAAAAAACTAACTAGGAAAATCAATTAAGCATAATTCAAGATCAGTGAACTCAATGTTTTTAACATTAAAATGTTAAAAAAAATGTTGAAAACATTGAAATCACTGATCTTGAATTATGCTTAATTGATTTTCCTGGTTAGTTTTTCAATTAATTAAAAGGGTTGTAATAGGCCTTAAAAACCATCATTCAAAAGGCTTTTTTGTGAGATGTTTCCGTAACGATACAGAAAAATTTCCAGGCCATTACTTGTACATTTTGCTATATGGATTTCCCAACTTCTATTTTTTAGCTATAGTGTTTGAAATTTAACAAATTTTACTCTTAATTTCCAGGAACTCGTTTATCAACAGAACACCTACGAATGCTCACTGAAAACTATGCAAGCTGATTTAGAATTAACGAACAGCCAGGTCGCTGCATTACAGCAGCAGATTATTTCTTTAGGTAACAAAGTCTTTTTAGGACCTGTTTACATGCCGCGAGATCTCAGCTATTATATAGAAACATTATATATTAGTTTTCCCGGTGTCAAGCGAAATTTCTAACCTCTGCGAAATATCTGACCAACCATGACGGCTCATGAATTTGCGCGCGTGGGCGCGTAATACATGACGCTTACTAAATACATGACTCGATCAAAAACATCTTTTTAAGGTTTATGTGATATTTTATCTTTGTGATAATGTATCACCTCTAACTCTAAAACTGGATTCAGTTTAATATCTATGAGATCTGTTGTGAAATTAATAATGACGGTGGTTACTATAAACATTATTGTCTTAATAATGATTAATGTATACTAAAAAGTTGGCATTTGTAAACTGGTGCTATCTAATATTTTCGGCATTTTACTTCGGATCGTTTATTAAGCAAAAAAGTATATTATTAGCACTGTATTAGTATAGGAAAAGTATTACTGGAAAACAGCTTGGAAAGTCTTCTTCGAAGAATTGAAGACGCACATGTTTTTGTAGCCGGCAGTTGCGAAATTTGTAAAGTATGCGTATAGGTGCAGAACTATACGATAATCATGTATTCAAAAGCAACTCAGGAATTTCGCGTGACACCGGGTGACCGTTTACTATCACGCAACCTGGTAACTCGCCTTGGCGAGATAAATATTTTCCCATGTGAACAACTTGTCGGCAAAACTCGCTAGCCCAAGATACTGTAGAACGGTATATGCGTTCGAAATGTGAGAGACAAAAATACATGCGAATTATTAGATACGTTTTTCTGAATTTCCGACATTTTGTTATGTTGTTTACCGTTTCAAACGGCGCTATTTTGACCAAATACCGAGTATTAACTCGATTCATGCATATAGTCAGCTAGCGAGTAACTCGACCTGCCTGGTGACTAGCCTCCATATAAACAGTCCCTTGGTGTGAAATGAATGAGCATGGCATTTGGTTATATTTAGCTGGATCAATGCAATCAAATTTATTTAGTAGACGCCCGTACAAGACAAAAAGTATATTCAACCTCTTCTTAGGATTAAAGTTTGGCCGGCTAATAACTTGTTCTCTGGGAATTCTAGAACTTGGATTTAACTCGGAAATGAGGCCCATTTTTTGTTTCATAAAATGATTTCTTGTAGTATAACTGAATTATTTTCATGATTAAAAAAAATCTTTTTATGCCGAAAAATGCGTCATTACGTTTTCCTGTATTGAAAAGATTTTTAAAATCGTTGAGATTGCCAACGTGCGTGCTAAAAGAAAGCAATTTTATTAAATGAAAAATGGCGGTCATCGATGCTATTTTCGAGTTAAATTATTCTAAATCCAAAATATCTGCCATATTGAAACGTAATTGTTGCCATAGTAACAACACTTACGATTGTTCTGGGAAAATTTTGAAGTAGTATAAAAGAGGTATTGTTTTGTACTAATCAGATACTCTTTGTTTTTAAACAAATAATAATTGTCCGGAAATTATTCTCCAAATTAGAAATCTTCCATTATTAAAAAGTGTAGAGAACCACTTAAGTCTGTTTTTATGTTTAGTATTGTTCGCCTATTGCCATACAGATTTGTAGCGCTTACTTTGAATTCTGTTGATAAGATATTATATTGGAGGATAACTGCACTTCGGTTGCTGTACTGTTGAAGTTTTCAATGCATGTTGTTCTTCCGAGACCGCTTCTCTTCCAACGGGAGTTGAAGCAAAGATGAAAATATTTTGTAACGTCGATCGTCTGATAACGATGAGTGGAAAAGAGCCTTCAGCAAGATAAACTACTCTGTACACTTAGTGACGTCTTTTGAAATTTTAGTGTTCACCTTTTTCGTGTCCGATACATTGAAGCTTTATTATATGTTTTCAGAACAAATGAACGTTGATATTACAGAAAGCAGAGAGGAGCTCGAAAGTCAGTGTAGCAGACTTCACGGTAATGTGTGACGATGATCCTGCACCAGGGGTATTTTAGATTTTGAGACTTGGGTGGGAGCTCCCCCAAATTTCAGGGTTTATTTTATTTGGGGGGGGGGAGAATTCCCCCTCCTATAGTCACAAACCCAGTCATCACTTCCTACGCTCACCTATTTCCAAGTGAGGGGATAGAAATTGTGTCTGGGTTCACCAACTGCACCTCCAAGTGATTAACCATTTTTAGACTCAAGGTTATATGCCTTACCACTTACCAGTTTAATATTAATTCATATTCCATTTTGGTGGGGAATGCTCCCCCAGAATTTAGCTATTTTCAGATTTGGGGGGGGGGATTCGAGATTTTTTCATTTTTGGGGAGATTCCCCCCTGCAAAATACCCCTGTTGCACTCTTCTTGCATTGTAAACATTGTAATCACATTGATGCCATTTCTGTAGGCATGAATATTGCTTTAGAAGAGGAAAAGCTAGCATTTCAAGATCGCCTCGATGAAATTGAAAGCAACTGGAAGGTAACTAATTACTACAGCGAAAAAACGAATATTACAGTCGATTTCACAAAACTTTTGCCAAAATGTTCCAAACTTCGTCCCGAAGTTCGCAAAGTTCGTTTCGAAGTTCACAAGTTCAACAGTGAAATTCACAAGCCGGTTTGTAAACAAGACCTCTGATTGGTCCATGAATTGAAAGAAGCCAATCAAATGCTTAGTTTACAAACTAGCTTGTGAACTTATGAACTTGGAAACTTCAAACATTGGAACTTCGAAATGAACTTGCAAACTTTGAAACGAAATTCGGGATATTTTGGCAAAAGTTACGTGAAATCGACTGTAAAAAGCCATACATAATAATATAGACCTTACAGTGCTCCAAAATGGTTTCCACCGCATGAAAACGAGACCAAGAGAACAGATATCGCGCATTTACTTTTTAGTGTGAAGTTTCACTTCACACTATTGTGATGGCTGGCGAATTCACACGAATCAGTCAAACAGTCAGTCAGTCAGTCATAGAGTAAACTTTCCGGGGGGTGTATACGATTTATGTTCGTAGTGATTTATTGTACTTAGTCAGTACTTTGAAGGTTATTTAGGCAATTTCAGTTAACTTATTTACATATTCTGTTATCCTTTTGCCAAGTTCACAAAAATTTCGAGCAATCGCTTTCGTTATTGCATTTTTTTGTAAATTTTAGAACATTCGCTTCTCATGTTGTGTAAAGGATCTTTACCCCGGAACACCCGATTTTTTCTTTAGTAGCGCAAATGCGCATGCGCTATCAAGCCGTAGATCACGATGGCGTGACGATATGCTAGGAAGGGGCGACAGTGTTTTTTTCAGATGTATAAAGATTTCAGACGTGAATATTGAGTAAATCTTTGAAAATCTACGCAATATATAAATTGATCTTATGCATTACGGGCGTTCAATTAAGTGCCGATAATATTTAGACGGTATATTCATTATACAGAGCTAGGAAGGAGCTAGACTGCCTAGACAGTGCAGTCAAGTGTGTAAACATTTCAGACGTAAAGATTGAGTCGAATATCTTAATTCTAGGCATTCATATGAGTGCCGATATTATTTTCACGGTATTCTCATTATACAGAGGTACAGTACGTAGGCAGAAGCGAGACAGTGTTGTTTTCAAGTATATACAGATTTCAGACGTGAATATTGAGTAAATCTTTGAAAATCTACACAATATATAAATTGATCTTATGCATTACGGGCGTTCAATTTAATAAGTGCCGATAATATTTAGACGGTATATTCATTATACAGAGCTAGGAAGGAGCTAGACCGCCTAGACAGTGCAGTTAAGTGTATAAACATTTCAGACGTAAATATTGAGTCGAAAATCTTGCTTCTAGGCATTCAATTGAGTGCCGATATTATTTTTTCACGGCGTACTCATTATACAGAGGTACAGTACGTGCAGGCAGAAGCGAGACAGTGTTGTTTTCAAGTATATAAACATTTCAGACATGAATATTGAAAAAATCTTTGAGATTCTACGCAATAATAGTAATACAATATATAAATTGTCCAAAGCTTGCCAAAAATGTTTTAAACACTGCTATAACTGTGAAACTATTGAAATCTAAAGTGATATTTATATTCAACACATGCGAAAAGCTGAAAATAGACACACGTCACACTGAGAAAAGTCAAAGGTCAATGAAACTTGTTATTGTGAAACATGTCACAATTTAGTTAAAATGCGGAAGCGGATGGAGCGGATCCACGGAACGGATATGCGGATAAAATACGGAACGGATGAGGATAAAATGCGACTTTTAATGATGTAACGACGTAGTGCTTATTATTCATAACATATCTTATACAGCTATTTCAATTATAGTTTATTAGATAAATTTAGCATAGCAGTAGGCTCGTGGGGATGCTTTCAGCGACAGCTGCAAATGCAAATGAAAATTTAGAATATGCAAAATTTGGTTGTTGGTGACACAATAAATACATGAATTGTATCAGTTTCACAAGGCACGTTTCTGATGTGTTAGGCTTGTTTCAAACGTCACGCTACTCGTGTGCCGAGCGTATTAAAAGCAATAAATAATGATATGAAATGCCTTTGGTAACTGTTTATTTCGTAGTGTAAGTCATCAAGCTTTTCTAGGTTGTCGGCAACCCTATATAGTTCTTGCAGTGTCTTTTTAAATTTGAAACTTCACACTATCCTTGGATCCCTAGTTAATTTTGATACGTCGAGAGCGTCAACCAGAATCACAACTATTCTTATTTAAATGAAAAATACTTAACAATTATTCACCGGAATGGAGGTGAATAGTGCAAGGATATTCACCGAAACGGTGGTGAATATTCTTGCACTATTCATGCACCAACACGGAGGTGAATAATTGTTTTAGCATACGCCATAACAAAACAAAAACGACCAAAAAACAACGAAAATATTTTAAAACAATTTGTATTACAGCTCACATAATAGTTGTAAAGAAGACGGTATTTATTTAAAACTTTTAGTAATTTTATTCATTCTCGAAATAGCTTTAAAGAATACTTCTGCACACTATGAAATAAAACTTTGTGCAGGCTTTCTTTGTGTTTGGCGAAACCGCATCTTCATTTAGTACATATATATTTGCTCCTCTGTAACCGGAACGAGACGGGAAGCCATTTTGTTTTTTGTCCGGAGATGAATAGTGCAAGGATAGCTGGAGCTGAGCAACCAATCGAATTTCGCGAAAAGCACTATCCACCTCCCAAGTATATGCTAAATGGATTTATTTAATATGTTTTTATTCCACGTCCATCATGTTTTCGATATTTCACGTTTTATTAATTTAATCGTGAACGTGTCCAAAATACAAAGATCCTTGTGATATCTCACTTTTTACAGAACGCGTATTCAACAAAAGAGGAACTTTCGGCGGACCTTTTGTCGTGCAGGGAACGACATCAATCGGAAATTGAAACTCTAGAACAATCACTTAAAGAGAAATTATCGACTGTGGAAAAACTGGCTGAGGAACGTACATCGCTTGAGGGAACTGTGGTGTCGTATAAAAACAAGATTGATCATTTGAAATTAGAAATGGATGAGTCACTGAGGAATCAAATGGAAACTATGGATGAGCTGAAGTAAGCATTTATCTTTCTACAGTCCGGTCTGCGCATGCGCACATAGGAGTCTCCTGCCGTGATATAAACACTTTATAATTAGGTTTTTATTTCATTTTATGTTCTTGCAAAGCCTGATTGTTGTATCTTGATAATTTATTATACTGTAGAAGCATGAAAATATAAATAATTGTCGAATAAAATTCAATATTTTGAAAAAAATATTAAAAAATGAAAACAAAAATACCGAAATGTAAACAAAGGCTTTGTTTACATACGGACTGTACCCTTTAAGCTGCGGAAGCTTTAAGGTGGCTCCCTACTGGGTTTTTTAAATATGGATATATTTATCATTTAAATCATTACGCAACTTATTTACAGCTGGAAGTTGTGCGTGATTATCGTTGCTACATTATATATGGCAACAATATATAATGTATTTAACATTAGTACGCCCTCACTTAGGATATGCCACCCAGATCTGGTGCCACAGTCCATCAACCTAATTGCAAGATTGGAAAAAGTTCAAAGGCGTGCCACGAAATTTATTCTCAATCAGCCGTTTTCCAGTCCAGACAATTATACCTCGCGATTACAGTCTTTATCATTACTTCCATTATGTTACTGGCATGAGTTTTTGGATTTGGTTTTTTTCTTTAAAATGGTGAACAATCTGGTAATAATAGAACCTTCTGTAGTACCAAAAACCCGAAGCTCCAGACTGACCAGATCGTCTATAAACACGGACATAGTACTTGGAGACTTAATAAATGCCCAATTTCCTCCCTACTACGTCATTTTACTTTGAAACAGATAGTTAAAGAACCCACAAGAGGAAATTCCACGTTGGACTTAATTTTGACAAATATGACTTCCTGTTGTAACTCTCCGGTGTTATTACCCCCTATCGGCCAAAGTGACCATAATTCCGTACTGTGGTCCTTTAATAAAAATACAGCTAAATATGGTACATCAAAAGTGAAAACTAGACAAGGTAACAATCATGACAGGAGAGCATTCGGTAAGTGGCTAGCTGATATAAACTGGAACAACTTGTACCGCGCTGAATCATGTGAACAAAAGTTAGATTTTTTCAAACAGTTATAAATACTGGTTTGGACTGTTTTTTCCCTAGTAAAATTGTAAAGTTGCACGATCATGATAAACCATGGGTTACAGTCGGATTTAAGAAAATTATAGAAAATAGACAAAGAGCGTTTCGTCAGGGCAAAAGTCCGCTATATCGTAGATTGAGAAATCTTGCCAATAGAGAAAGTAAGAGACTCAAGTCAACCTTCCTTAAGAAAAAGATGGATGAGTTAAAACTAAACCCCAATGCTAAAAAATGGTGGCAATGTATAAAACAGCTTGCGGGTTTCGCCAAGAAAAAACATTCTCTAATTTCGTTGTAAACAACCAGGTTTTTGCTGGTAAAGAGTTAGCAGATAAAATCAATGATGTTTTTGTCTCATCTACCCAAGCTATTCCTCCCTTGAATAAGTCTCCAGTTGATGACCTAATTGAAAATGGCAGTACAAGTATCCTTCCACAGTTTATTATCGAAGAAAAAGATGTATACTGTAAATTGTCCCCCATCCCCGTTTCCAAATCACCTGGTCCTGACGGAATACCTAATTGGGTGCTTAAATCTTATGCATACGTTATTTCTTCCCCTGTGGCATCGATTTTCAACGCTTCGATTCAAGAAGCAGTTGTACCCTCAATGTGGAAAAAAGCGAACGTTATTCCTGTTCCAAAAAAATCAGTTCCTAAAGACATTTCTAAAGATTTGCGCCCTATCTCACTTACCCCCACTTTATCCAAAATTTGCGAACGGTTTGTTACAGACTGGTTACTTAAGTCAATTGGTGCAAAGATTGATACGCGGCAGTTTGGCTCCGTTAAAAATTCCTCGGCTACCCATGCCCTACTGAGCCTGATCCATCACCTCCTGAGTGCTACAGATGCTTCAAGCAATGCGGTGAGAGTATTCTTGCTTGATTTTGAAAGTGTTTCCCAAACCATTATAAATTGGATTAGAAGTTTTCTCTCTGATCGTAAACAACGAGTCAAGTTGGCTAACTGTCATTCGGACTGGCAAACGTTAAACGGTGGAGTGCCGCAAGGGTCGGTGTTAGGGCCGGCTTTGTTCCTTGTTATGATAAATGATCTTATTGATTGGAGCGATAGATGGAAGTATGTTGATGACAGTACGTTTGCTGAACGAGTTACATCAACTGAGAGTAGTGAACTACAAGATCTAGTGAATGTTATCTATAATTGGTGTGAAGTTAATAATATGAAGCTCAACATCGGCAAATGTAAGGAAATGGTAATTGACTTTGCAAGAGAAAAACATGAGTTTCTACCGTTAACTATAAATAACGTTGGTATTGAGCGGGTAAAATCTGCCCGAATTCTTGGTCTCTCAATCCAAGATGATTTGAAATGGGACGAGCATGTGAACCATATTGTTAAAAAAGCGGGAAAACGCCTTTATATGCTAAGGTTGTTAAAACGATCAAATGCCGACAATAGCATTCTAATTTTGGTATACTGCACCATTATCAGACCAGTACTCGAATATGCCTGCCAAGTTTGGCACTTCAATATTACAGAATACCTAAGTGAAGATATCGAAAAACTCCAGAAGCGGGCTCTGCGTATTGTCTTGCCATTCGCTACTTATAGAGAAGCTTGCAGTATTACTGGTATACCCTTACTGAAAGATCGGCGGCGATTATTATGCGAACGTTTTTTTGTTAATAATGCACATGGAGACAAATTGGGTGACCTCTTACCGCCTAAACTTGAACATAACTATAATACACGTTATGGAAGCGATTATAATAACTATAGTTGTAAAACGGACAGATTTATGAAATCGTTTTTTCCACAGATGGTTTCACATATGAATAGACCATAATTTTAATATTTTTAATATTTTTAAATTTGAACTCTATAACTTTTTCAACTGAAGTTATGAATAATTTTATGCATCTAGATATTCTATTGTAGTATAATGAGACTTTTTACTGATGTAATTTAACCTAATAGGTTACAAATCGGTATTTTATTAAATTATTATATTATTATTATATTATACCTAAGTTTGTCATTCCCAGGAGCAAAACAACGACGCACCAACGCTCGTTTCTAATTCGAACAACCAGGGTGTGGAACAGCCTAACTGACGAACTGAAACTTAACATGATAAATTTGAACTCATTTAAATCTACTATTCTAAGTTATTACTTCCGTGCTTTGGAAATTTCCTACGATCCTGAAAATCCAAGAACATTCAAAACTATATGTACCAAGTGTAATACCGCTCGAACTCTGGTTCAGCCTCTTAAGTGCTGCTATTAGTTATAATTTTATTTAGATAGTTTTTTTTTTATGTTTGTATATCCTAATTCGGGCCCGCAGTAATTGGCTCACGCTGTTGCGGTCACCCTGCCTATAGTCATGTATTGTAATATGGCGAAACAAATATTGGGCAATAATTTTGGATGTCTTAATAATTACAAAAAAGCAAATTATTTAATTAATATACACAAATTCTTGTTTTTAAGTTAATAAACATTTAATTTTTCGCAATAATTTTGTGATATATGCAGAATCTTAATTTTGTGTTACCAGACTTTTTTTCGAATACATGTTTACATGCTGACGGCTATGAAACGTTTATGAATAACGTAATTTATCGCTTCCGTGCATATATTAAACCACCATCGGCAAACTGTTTGTCAGGTTGAGCTCGGTTTTCTGTGCTGCCGAATACTACAAGACCAGTCAAAGCCTTTAATCTCTTCCATCCAATTTCCTGATGTGAACTGCAGCCCTCGTGGAATAGGAAAGGAAAGATGGCCCGCTTCGCCACTGATAAATACCAAAATTTCCAATCACGTGACTATACTTAAATTAACTTGCGCGCGCAAATTACTTATATTTCGCATAATTAATTTCAACTATAACTTATTTCGGGAAGCAATAAAAACTCTTATCGCTGTGGCAATAAGTTCCTTTTAATTTTTCAATTTTTTCGTAATTTTTCAATTTTTTTAAACAATTTCCAACTCTAAAGTTATTGTTTTCTAACGCGTCACACAATTTTATTGCATGCAACCTGCAGGGGTGGAAAAAATATTTTACTTATAAATCAGAAACTGTAACTGTGTAACATTAACAAATTGTCAAACTGAATGTCATGCTATATGTTAATTTCAGTGCACTTACGACAATCTTAACACCTTAATCGTACTTAATTTCGTGCGACTTTAACTTCGCGATTTTCGCAATTTTAAACGCGAAATTAAAGTCGCGCCAATAATAAACCTCGCGAAATTTACACAAGCGAAATTAGCCTTTTTCACGATGACGAATATCTGCCATTTTTGGGTGGCATCGAATTCTCGTTAACCAATGCAGACAATTAAACCAATGTGAAAAACAATTTTTCAAAATAAACTAACCATTAACAAAGCAAATTTACCATCATTCGTCCAAAAAATTATAAAAAGTCGCGTTTATGTGAACTTATCTCGCAGACTTCGGCTGAAATGCCACCCAAAAATGGCGGCGTGAGAAAGGCTAATTAAATACCCCAGTAAAAAATTTGAGTAATAAAATTTCTTGATAAATATGATCAACAACAAGATGTGCAGCTCGTATATCGATGTATTCTCAAGTATTGTATTCTCAAGATGTCTTGTCTTTTCGGAATTTGTTTTTTACTTTACTTTTTTTAATTGTCTGCTGGTCATGGTTTTGGTTTTTTTTTTACAGTCTTAGTATTAAGCTATACAATTTGCATCTTGTCTTGTTACCGCAATAAAGGGACCAAAAAATGGAGGGCAATTAATCTAACTATCATCTGCTTCATCTGAGTCACCGTCAAATATCAACTACATTATTATAGGAAATTAACGATGCACTTTATTAACGTGACATAAATTAACGCGACATCAAATTAACGCGGATTGCTTCTAGGTCTTTTAAAACTTGATTATATTAACGCGAATCTGATCTCCATGGTTGACAAATTAATTAAATTAACGCGAATCGGATAGTGAACTGAGTTAAGAGGAGCACTGATGTTTTTAGTTTATGTTAATATGCTGTATTTTGATATTAGAAGAGTTCGTGTTACATTATAAAACAAATCAAGGTCTTTTTAACTAACGATAAATAAAAATTACATACTTAAAATTAACGATGATATAAATTAACATTAATTAAATTAACGCGAATTTTTAAAATCCGCGTTAATAAAGTGCATCGTTAATTTCCTATAATAAGGTATATATTTTATGTTGACTAATTGTTTGGAAAGTCGTTGTTCAGATTTTTATAGAAAATAAAATGTTTAGAAAGCGTTACGACTGGGGGCACCATGCACGTGGGGGATCTGGGGCATGCTCTTCCAGAAAATTTTCAAAATCACGTGTCTCAAATTTGCTAAAAATGCATTTGCCAAGCGTTGTTACATCATTCTCCGGTCAGCCGTTAACATGCTGCATTGTTTAACCTCTGGAACAGCACATACTGTCACGTATACATGTACGTTTTAGAGCAATCATCGCATAGTGGTGTATATTGTAGTGATCAACAATATTGAAAATGAAGAGAACTACAAACAATGCTTTTGAATCACATTTTAAGGATTGAAAAAGAAATGATACTTGTTTCGCTTGGAAACCTGAAAGAAGAACGCGGGCAAACCCAACAAGAAATGTTACATTTACAAGATGTGATAACAAGGTAACTTTTTGCCTGCAAGACAGACTCAGTTGCATTCCGGACCTACAAGCGTACATGGCACGGTGAGTTTCGTGCATAATTTCTGAACAGTTGTGATACCTTTTGTAAAATATTCCTAGGCTGAAATAGACTGCTTAAGATTTCGTGATTTTCAAGGTACATTTACCGCGTTTGAGGACGGTCATTAATTCATACACTATTCCCGGATGACCCCATGTTTGTATTTTTTTAAATAAGTTTTATTTCCATGTATGATTGTTGATTCACGAAGCAACCCTGGTACCCCATGTTTGTATTTTTTAAATAAGTTTTATTTCCATGTATGATTGTTGATTCACGAAGCAACCCTGGTACCCCATGTTTGTATTTTTTAAATAAGTTTTATTTCCATGTATGATTGTTGATTCACGAAGCAACCCCGGTACCCCATGTTTGTATTTTTTAAATAAGTTTTATTTCCATGTATGATTGTTGATTCACGAAGCAACCCCGGTACCCCATGTTTGTATTTTTTAAATAAGTTTTATTTCCATGTATGATTGTTGATTCACGAAGCAACCCTGGTACCCCATGTTTGTATTTTTTAAATAAGTTTTATTTCCATGTATGATTGTTGATTCACGAAGCAACCCTGGTACCCCATGTTTGTATTTTTTAAATAAGTTTTATTTCCATGTATGATTGTTGATTCACGAAGCAACCCCGGTTGCTGCGTTACGAAGCAATCAACCTCGTGACTTTCGGTTGCGGATTTGTGGACTGTATACAATATACAAATTCTTCAATATGCCTTGAATAATGTTTATTATACATTCGGTATAAGTTAGATCTCTTGTTTTGTAAGTAAACTCTTTAATTGTTTCTGTTATAGAAAAGAAGAATTATGCCTTGAAAACATTAGAAAATGTCAGAATCTAGAAGATCAGATAGGTACATAATATTGTTGCTGCTTTAGAAAATTGTTTTTGTAATGCAGTGGACGTTTCCCTTTAGCTGTTAAACACCTGACTCTTTCACAGTCCGTTATCCGTACGCGCGGTCGCGATTCTATCGCATTCCCATTAAGCCCTGCGCTCCCATTGTTCTTTCACTGATCTCTATTCCCAACTGAAGTGACGAGGAACGAGGCAGGTTAATTAAACACTATAGATGGTATTGAATTGTGATAAAATGCTGTTTTTCATTTCCTGTTTTTTTTAGTTATATTACAACAGGGTCAAAAGGCAGAAGTGGAAGCTTTAAAGAATGATTTGAAAGTGACGAAAACGACCTTGGAGAAAAGGTAATTCATGTTAATGTGTATTTTTTGTTTGGTGGAAATAAACAGGAAATAGCCAGTTCATGAGGTTAGTTGTTCGTATACTGTAAATTGTCCTGGATATTACCTACTTCCTCCGCTCATTCGTAAAATATTGTGTTCATCATGCACTTGAAGATAAAATTCATATTAAATTTTCCTGTTACTGTTCTCCGTGTATTTAATTTACATTATATTGACAGCTTTTAGCTCCATTTAACAATTGCTTAATTTTGAGTGTTCGGAACATTGAAATTGCTTCGTTTGTTAGATATTGCTTTGTTCGTTGGAAGAGGGTTCTGAACAGTTGCTTGCATATAGATTCCAAGTCTCGAATAAAAAGGTGTCTTGACCACGTCCACTATTCTTTTTGAGCCTGGACTAAGGGAACAAGGATGGTTTCTTAATACAGATTCGACTAAGACCACTAGAGTGATTCAATATGTTTTCTTTGCTTTGTACATTGTTTTTAGTGAGATCGAGTGTAAAACTATTAGCGAGACTTTGCAAGAACTTGAAACAAAGTACGAGAACGTTTGTCAGGCTCGTGAGCAACTAGAGCATAATTTGAATGTTCTGGTAATGTTCCGCCATGCTTTAGTAATGAGGAAACATTGCTCTACAGTATGGTCAAACACTTCTGCAACAAATATAAAGAAATTGAGAGCAATACAGATATTGCTTGTAGGATATTGACAAATACGGAAAGATACGATCATGTAACACCAGCACTACGTGCAATTCGCTGGCTTCCTGTAGAGGAACACTTAAAATATAGAGAGACACTAATAACATACAAATGTATGAACGGATTAGCACCACCTTACCTATCCAAATTATTTATAAAAAGAAATGAAATTCACGATCTAAATACAAGGAATAATAAAGCGCTACACATCCCTCAACACAAAACAGTTTCAGGACAAAGAACCTTTTATTATAGAGCGGTGAAGTTATGGAACGACTTGGATGAAGACCTCAAAAAGTTACCTTGGAAAAGTTTTAAAACTAAATTAAAGAACAAGATGCTTAACAAAAATTAATTACATTTTATCGCTTCCCTGCATATATTAAACCACCATCGGCAAACTGTTTGTCAGGTTGAGCTCGGTTTTCTGTGCTGCCGAATACTACAAAACCAGTCAAAGCCTTTATGGCATAATTATGGCTTATGTGCCCGGTTGTTGGCACATAGCCGGTTTATTATTTTAATCGATTTTTAATAATTAACAAGAAAAATTATTAATTAATAACTATATAACATTTAGCACAGAAAAGGTGGGGGCATTACTAACGCCCACTACGCATAACGTATCTATATAAGTTCAACATATCGCGTCCAACAACGGGGAGGAGGGTGGGTAATTCTCTTCCATCCAATTTCTTGATGTGAACTGCAGCCCATATGGAATAGGAAAGGAAAGATGGCCCGCTTCACCACTGATAAATACCGAAATTTCCAGTCACGTGACTACACTTAAATTAACTTGCGCGCGCAAATAACTTATTTCGCATAATTAATTTCAACTATAAATTATTCCGGGAAGCAATAAAAACTCTTATCGCTGTAGCAATAAGTTCCTTTATCGCTTCCCTGCATATATTAAACCACCATCGGCAAACTGTTTGTCAGGTTGAGCTCGGTTTTCTGTGCTGCCGAATACTACAAAACCAGTCAAAGCCTTTATGGCATAATTATGGCTTATGTGCCCGGTTGTTGGCACATAGCCGGTTTATTATTTTAATCGATTTTTAATAATTAACAAGAAAAATTATTAATTGATAACTATATAACATTTAGCACAGAAAAGGTGGGGGCATTACTAACGCCACAAGTCTCCTTGGGATAAAGGAGACACACCCCACCCCAACCTGGCAAACCGTTTGCAGATGATCATGAAAAATATCTACGTATATACTGATACCACATGTTACGAAAACCTCAATCTATGTCAGTTTGACTGCATATGCTATTGTCAGTCAAAAGCAATGAACTTACACTGGTCTAGATAATAACAGTGCAATCAATTACCTAGTTTACTATACAAGCCTCCACTGGAATAAACTGATGATCAGCTGAAATGTGAACCTTACCCATGTGTCAGTTCAATATCCAACCGATGACCAATAACTGTCTCCAGAGGCGATAAAATACCGTATTATACGAGTTTCTAGCGAAATAAATATCATCAGCTGAAATGTGAACCTTACCCTTGTGTCGGTTCAACATCCAGCGATGATGAATAAGTAAGATAAAATACCTAGGCAATCACCAGTTTCGGGCGAAATAAACATGCATCTGCTAAAATGTGAACCTTGTGCCAGTTCAACATCCAACCGGCAATGACGTTTGCGAAAAACAAAACATTTGTTGTACACACCGTTAGTAACAAACTGGGTAAATTAAATTTAGAAACGTGAATTGAGGTTATATATATGATAGTCCGGAATGACTGTTGGTGATGAATGAACGTTGGCCGATGCGAGCTGTCTCAACGTAGCAACCTGTGTCCGAGATAAAGGATTCCCTGAAACACTTCTTAATCCAGATATGTGCCGAGTACGAAATAAAGATATACTTAATGCTATTAATTAAAAACAAGCAAGCACCAGTTTACGTACAAATATCATAACAGCCGAATTCCAAAATGGAACCGAATAGCCTTATTATAATATCAACCAATGCAGCATCATCTGTTAAGAACGTTATACGCTGAATTACCACCGCCTCGCAAATTGCCGAGTGCGATATGGTATAGCGACTATGCTGGGCCGATCGGATCTTGTAAGATCAACAAGCCATCGTAACAAGGCACGACGTGGCACGACCACCTACAAAACTAAATTAATTAAGCAAGGCAATCGAGGATTGAATTACCTTTTTACGCAAGTGACTTAATTTAAATTCCGCAGTCTGATCCTCAGGTAATAAATAGCGCTGTCATGCGTAAAGCGTCTAATTCAATTCTTGCGAATGAGAGCTCACGGATTGGCACTCCCAATATTTGCAAAGAGATAAGAAATCAGCAAGATGAATGCGGCATCGGTGATAATTGCGAAGCTGCCAAGCCGGGAAGTCATGATGCGAAATATTTAGCTGTGTTTTAGCAACTAACCGTTTCTGAAGCCGTATATTAAAGTATAATTAAACATGTCGAATGTACGACATCAACACGAACGTAGTTTATCGCAATGACTACCAAAACTAACAATAGAATTTAGAGAAAATAAATCATGTATTCCGGCGCTTGTTTAGTATAAACAATACCCAAAGGCGAACACGCAGCTATTCCCCTAGGTATTTAATATATAGTATTCACAATTTCATGGTTTTGTTCAGCATATCTTTTATAATTTGCATAAAACGATATTCGCAAATGTAAAACCTTCATATGAATAAACAATCCATTTCGCATCATGTCCACCCAGTAAATGCATTAATAAATTAATTGATTTATTGTGACTGGTGTTGGTCGAGACTTGACAGCGGTTGGGGCGCCATTACTGGAGAATCGATGAGGATGAAAATTAAAATTTTGCAATCGGATATATTGCCTTACATGAAGACTGTCTAAGTTGTCAAAAGATTGGAAGCCCATTGTCACAAAATAACCAGAAGTAGGCTTCTGAGATTGCGTGCGCGTAATTAAATTTTGGCACAGTGCGCGAACAAGAGGAAAGTCGCGCATTCCGGCTTCCTAATGACATCGCAGTATGTGGTTTGGCCGCAAAGAGCGCAAATGTGTATCAAATTTTGTAATTTGGCGCCACCGCGTACTGCCAAGTCACAAACCACAAATCTATATTACAGCGCGGGTGGTGCGGACGAAAATAGTTGAAGGATAGGAAGTACCAAGTTGGCCATAACATTTCACTGTCAGTGTACTGGCAATCATGAAGGGTGGACGATTGACGTTTTCTTCAGCGACCATTTGTACTTGAGGTCCTTGAGATGCTTGGGCTAGTAGCATGGATGTTCTGAAAGAAAAGACTAAAGAACGCAGACAAGCAAAATTTGAGTTGCACCATGCACATTAGCTATGCTTGACCGGTTGATATCGACATACCCGGCTAAACGGACTATAAACCTAACAAAAACATACTGTACAATAATCAAATAACCTGTAAGACAAAAAGCAGTGGAATAATCTAATTGTTATTCTATAACAATACTGCAAAACGTTAGAAGTATTGACATATATGTAAACGTCACAACGAAATGAAGTTGGCATACATCGCACAACGCAGCGGAATAATCATGGCATACATCGGAGGTAGCCGCAAATTGAATATTCCATTTATACAATGCTGCAAAATATATAAATATTCGGGCAATCTGAAAACAACTAGCTGCACCGTCCCACAATATATTGATTTCAACTGTGGGCATCTGAAAACGATAATCGCTCTATCCCACGTAGACATGCATTTTTCCTAACACAGGGACAGTAGCAAATTATATACGGTCACAGTGACACAACATAAGTTTAGACGAGAACAGCCGTAACAGCCACGTATACAAAACAGAACAGACTGAATGAGAACATGAACATATATATGTATATAAATGCCAGAAATTCATGAAAACGTCCTGTGAAGGAAAAACCCAATGTTGAAATCTCAACGTGGGCATCTGAAAACAGCTAGTGCTCTAGCCCATAAAACTTGAAATTTACAGAGAAACATACAAAAAACGAAGCAGCGGGGAATAATCACAATGGCATACATCGGAGGTAGCCGCAAATTGAATTGATGTGAACTGCAGCCCATATGGAATAGGAAAGGAAAGATGGCCCGCTTCACCACTGATAAATACCGAAATTTCCAGTCACGTGACTACACTTAAATTAACTTGCGCGCGCAAATAACTTATTTCGCATAATTAATTTCAACTATAAATTATTCCGGGAAGCAATAAAAATTCTTATCGCTGTAGCAATAAGTTCCTTTCTCATGTTATAGATTTAATGGATTTTAAATAGACAAATAGATTTAATGGATTTTAAATAGACTAATAGATACACAAATAGATTTTAAATAAACGCTAATTCATTTTGTAAATAGGTATTGAAAAACCCTCTCCGGGAATACTTAAAAAATAATAATAATAATAATATTTGTATAAGCGTGGTTCAGTTAAAGAAAATTTACTCCGGATAAATTAGTCGCTCTCTTTCTCCGCCAAAACTGTCGTTTTATTTTAGTAAAATGTCGTTTTATATATTTGAGGAATTTCGTTTCATATATTTGGGAAAATTCGTTTTATATATATATATATATATATATATATATATATATATATATATATATATATATATATATATATATATATATATATATATATATATATATATATATATATAAGGAAATATCACATACTCGAACCGACCAGACCGCGTAGCTCAGTTGGCAGAGCATTGGGCTAGTATTCCAAAGGTCGTAGGTTCGATTCCCACCGTGGCCAGGCATATTTTTCAAGCTTGCCCGGTGTGGATATAAACTCAGAGTAACATCACAAGCCTCATCTCAAATATAGTTTATAAAATATAGTCCATTCTAAAGTACATCGTTGGCGGGCAACAGAAATCTGGGTTATAATTCCATGACACGCAGTCACCAAATATATTAGCATAATTAGGCCCCAAGCCCCTATGAATAGTGGTAACACGGTTGTATACTACGGACGACATGGAAGCAACGATGCGAACGCTCTTTCCTTGAACGAATGGTCAGATTGCATGCAGAATAAACCGGAATGAAATTCGTGTGGTCGCGGAACATGACGCGCTGAATACACTTGATCGTCGGTACCCCGAAAACGCAGAAAGATTCGTGCCTAATCGCAAATATGGTATCAAGAAACAGCCTACTGTCATACAAACTACGTTGAGACTTGAACAACAACAAAAATGTGCTCATATAACCTGCACCACCTTGTAACACCCTGATTTCATCAGGTCCCCAGCAGTGTGTGAGAAAACATTTTCCGCTTCTTTCCTGCCATAGAGTTAATTTATGCCTTCTGCATTATTTTTGTATATGAAGTAAAGAGTTTTTGACTCATCAATGTAATTGTTCTTTGCCTTCGCAGTACGCCACCCTCCTTGCCTCTGTAGCAGGCGGTCTGGAATACCCAGAGCAGTTGTAGCACCACCAGCCGATCGTAAACTGTGCATGAAGTCCCTAACCTTTAGCATCAAGACCTTCCTTCACTAATTCTTTCTTGAACAACTCGCTAGCACGGCTGTATGTCATAGGTGTGCTCAGAAGTATCTGACCATATATTTGGTACTCTGGATACGCCTCCAAATGGAGGTTCTTGGCTTCCAGGTTTGAGACAACGAGCAATGACAAGAGAACTTGAAGATATGAGAGAAAACATATAAACAGTATTGAGTTGGGAAGAGTTACTGCACGCATGTACCTCTAGTTAGATTTGGTCAGTTCAGGTAATGATGAAGAAAGTTATACACCTCGATACCCAAACAGGAAAACCTAGCTTCCCCTGTCCTCCAAAATAATGGCTGTTCTCTAAGCGCCCATTTGTTGACGGCTACATATGCGGATTAGAAATCGGAACGTTCTCCTATTGGCGAGTTTTAATTTGAATTGCAGAGAAAGAGAATACAAAACGATTGATGAAGCACTGCAGGAAATGAAACGAAACTACGATGATGTATGTCGTCATCGCGTGAAACTGGAACATGATATCCAAGTTACAACACACGAGAAAAACATACTCGACAGACAGCTGACTGAAACACAGGTTCGTTGGATTTCATAGAATAAGTCAACGTCTGAACTTATTTGTAATACTTATTTGTAATACTTACATGAACGGGCGTGTTTTATTGAATATACAGTACAACACGAGCCAAAGGTGAATGTATATATTCGAAAGTATAAGTGCAGTGATAAAAGGTTGGCGATGTATTAGACTATAATCATCGACATCGTGTTATCCTTATCACTTCTATTATTATTTATTGTTTTACCTATAGTGGTTAATTAATGTGCTGCTTTGTTATTAAACAAATTATGATATTTTAGAAAAATGTAGATGCACTTCAACAAAGAGAAAAAGAACGAACGCCATTGGTTGAAACTCTACGGGAAAAGGTTGAAGCTTTAAAGAAGGAGAATGAAACAGCTCAAACTGAGTCGACGCAACATAACAGGTGAACAATTGTCAATGAATAACAAACTACTGCATAGCATCGTATCTATTACATCTGGTAACCGATGTACACAACTTCATATTTTATTTTTTACATGCATGTTACTATATACCAATTTAGTGAAAATTCATCACATTTTCTTCAACAATTTTAGAGACGAAATTAAAAAATTAAAAGATCAGTTGTTAAGCATCCAAGAGGAAAATAGGTGAGGTAATACAGGGTGTCTAAAAAAACGCTATATGCAAATTCAACAGGCTGTCGTGCATCATAAACGTGGCTAAACAATTAAATTTTTACATACGACGAAAGAACAGTTATTTTTAATATAGCTTTTCAATGATACTCTTTAAATCGTAACGATGACAAATGGCCACATATACTCGTCAAATAAAAATTGCCGGTCGAAATCACATTCTTCCACCGTTGGGAATTGCATGGAAAACGAAACATAGACAATTCCCAAGAGGGAATTAAAATTGAATGTTAAATTATCTAAAATGAGCTCGACTCGTCAATTATCGTAAACTCGATAAGAACGTCGTAATCAAAACCTTTTACGAAACAAATAGCTTGCAGCAGGCTCGCGTTGCTTTTGGATTCACTAACTTTGCATAATTAATGTATTTTCAATTCCCAACGGTGGAAGAATGTGATTTCGGCCGGCAATTTTTATTTGACGAGTATGTGGCCATTTCTGGTCGTTACGATTTAAAAAAGGTACCATAGAAAAGCTAAATAACAGCTCTTTCGTCCTACGTAAAAATGGAATTGTTTAGCTAGGTTTATGATGCACGACAGCCTGTTGAATTTCCATAGCGTTTTTTTAGACATGCACCCTGTATATTATAATAAATATCCTAACTACGCATCTTTAACATTTGTAAAAATAGAAATAACTACATTACAAAAAGAAAGTAAAAAAACCCAGTAGGCTTAACAATGTAAATTACCATGCATGCACTCATGTGTCTATATCTCCCTACATTTTAGGTTTTAATTTTCTAAATATAGTGTTATTAATTATTTTAACGCTTATTTATGATATTTCAGGTCTCTTGCCGCCGCACAAGAAAAAACAAACAAACTTAAACAGGAGTTTGGAAGGTATTCAATGCCACACTGTTTGCAGTATGTTACAAAATTATACGAATTTTATTCCTTCAAACGTTCTAAACGCTTCATTTCATTTTCTCTCTGAGAAAAAAACAGAAAAAAGTGACGAAATTCGGCCATTTTTCGGGTGATTGTTACTTTATTTCTTTATTTAGTGTTGCAGTATTTCTTGTTCGCACGCACTTTCAGAAATCATAAACTTACTAGAACATAATAAATCTCTATTTAGTTAAATCTCTATTTAGAACATGAAACACTGTTTAGCTTAAAATAGCGGCAGCAGAATAGGGGAGGAGGCTATAGACCCCAGAAGTAAAAGGGGGCGTGGCTAAGCCCCCCCCCAAACGATCAGAATAAGACTACCGTCTCAGTGATATGAAGATTCTTGATCAAAGGTAAAGGGAACACTTCAACCCCGAGCCAAAATTTAGTTTTAACAAAATCTGTTTGGGTATTTACATCTCGATAATTTCATTTTATAATAATGAGATAATAATAATATTTAATCATGGGTTTCATATCACCATGAAACACTGTGGATGAATATATAAATAGAACAAATATTTACACAATAGTTAATAAAAAAGTTTCAGTGATTGTAAGTTTAATTTAGTTTAAAACCAAGAGTTTTCTTCTGAAGGCTTTGAGATTTTGTTCGAACAAAACATATGCGTATTACTTGTGTTTCACTCTCTATGTTCTTTCACATTCTTAATTGTGAAAGAATTTAAAGTAGTTGGATTCTCATTTAATACTAAATCCAAAAATTCTTAAAGTGCGTTTGCGCATAGCGATTGGTCGGGCCGATTTGGCTCAGGCTGGATTCAGATTTATTTAAATGATATTAAAATACGCTGTCAATGTCATCTGACGACATTGTCAACCACAGAGTGGATACATGCAGAGCTGTAACTGGCCGTCGTAAGTACTGCAGAAACTTACGTTTTCATGTACCCACTTTTTTTTCAAGCGACCGGGTAAAAAAAATTATCAACTGCGCGTTCTCGGCAAGTTCCGCGAGCGATTAAAGCGAACCGCCATCCAATGGATGCATGTATGCATCTAGTAACTTGCCGAGCACGCGCACAAAAAGGTGGGTACACTAGTTGTAGTTCTGTATATCTGTCTACTCTGTGTTGTCAACTGATATAACTTTTGTCATTTTAACATTCGGCAATACCTGAAATCGGCCAACCGATCGTTTGTGTGTAAACGTACTGTTGTGCGGTTTTAAGAATTGGTTGGTGCTCAAGTAATTGGCATATGTTTTTTCATATTATTAATATTATTATATTATTAATGTAAATATTTAAGAAATCTTTACAGCCTGTAACGGGGAGTGCCTCGCATGGGACTTTGAGTCCCGTTCGCACTCTACCGCTTGGACATGGTCCAATAAATTGATTTAAATTAAATTTTAAAAAAAATTCGGGATATTCCTGTCGTCACTATCCAATTCATTCCATTCTCTTGCGGCATGATAAGCAAAACGTTAATTCCCCCATTCTGTCTTCACTTTAGGTAAATGAAAATTATTTCATCTACGAGTTGAAAAATATGTATCGTTCTTGCATGGGCCGTCCATAGCAGCCTGTTAAAAATGACCGTCTTATTTTTAATTAAAACTGGCCAGGACTGCCACCTGACTAAATGCGTGCGGCAAAGACGAAATTAAAATCGAAAAGCGAACTTTTTGTACATTGTAGCCCAACTGAAGGAGGCGCACGCACTAACTACTATGCCACCACAGTTGTGCCATCAACACCCTTCTAATGCCTTCTTTGTATAGGCGTCTCATTGAAGCCCAAAAGAATCTGTCTCAAAAGGATATGGAATTACAAAAGTAAGTTTCATGCAATGTATTTCCGGAATGTTTTCTTTTAATTTTGGTCAAACTATGTTTCCGATTTTATATAAATTTCGCGTTCTGTATCCAGTACTAAAAGTTATAATTATATAGTTTATTATTAGCATGACAAAATTACTGGATGCTACTGATTGAGAGGAGTACAATTATTTCATTAATTGTACTGCCGTATGCAATTAATGATTTTCCCAAAACAAACAAAATAGCGGAAAGGTATTTGAACACAAATGAAATTGCCCTATAGAAGAACTTAAAGCGTGCAAAAGAACAAAATAAAAATACGAACAAAAGCACAAAATTTTGGTTGGAAGTCTGGCAGGATTGCGCTTTGGCGAGAGAATGTGATGTTGACATTGAGAATTATGCAATTTTGTCATGCTAATAATAAACAAGTAATTGTGCGATGTTGTTCGTGCAATTAGGGATTAACAGTACTCGGGTGAGTCCAATTTGGCAAAATTTCCAAACATCACTCGTATACTATTAATCCCTAATTGTACTCGCCATCGCATGATTACCTATACATATCCAGTGGAGAACTATAGCCATAGCACCAAATCATGGCTCCACAGAATTAATCAACAACATGGCGACTATGCATGAGTGTGTTGCTACAAACACAAATAATATCAGTCAGAATCACCATAGTTAATAGAATAGATGGTTTGGAAACTCATTGGAATAACAATATAACTCATTATCTATGTTAGTCAACGTTTATTCATAAATCTGGTCCTTCGCCGTCACGTGCGTATTGTATTTTTGCCCAACAAACCAATAGCAATGTTTTACTAAAGTTACCTATCCGTGACTCGAACAATAGGATAAATTGGAAATTGCTATTGGTGGATTTGACAAAAATACAATACACGCAAATTTTTTTCCGTAGACAGTCGGACTCCTCATTCATAGTCGGACGCATCATTGATCCGCGCCCTTAAACAAAATATTCAGCGGATACTCTTCGTATTAGATGCGCCTTCCCAGTGTGTCTCGCGCACGCAATTGGTGATTTCAAAATCCGGATTGTATTGCTTGGTTGAGATGCCAAAATCTGAGGACACATTGTAGCTTCATATCTTGTGTGGTGATGACATCTATAACATATTTTGTTAAGTTGTATTCGACATTCCCACTTGCTTTTCGGAGCGATTGCAGAACACAGTCCACTTTTTAAGCTATGCTTTTCAAACATCATGGATACGATTTATTAATACATATATATTTATTCTCAATAGATTAATAATAAATAGATTGATAGATTAAAATCCCATGGTGGTAAAGGTAGCTACGAGGCATACAGTGGCTTAAGAATTAATAGACTAAATTGTCATAGTGTTAAGGTAGCTCTCTATTCTGGTGGATACCCGGATATGCAGTCAAATAGTTATTTTGAGGACGAGGCATACAGTTTGATTAGCATTATAGATCAAATTCGTGGATTAGTTAGCATTAATAGATTAAATTATCATGCTATAGAGAGCTTAAATGTGGTGTAATATGTAAATATGTTCCTCACAACCGGACATTGGTGTTTGACAGATTATGATTAATTAGCGTCGCTGGGAGAAAAAAATTATATTATAAAGCATACTAAGCATAATATTAAATATGAGAAATCTTGCATGATATTTCGTGGATAGTATCAATTCGTAATATTGTCTTAGTAATTACATTAGTTTGTGTATATTAGAACGAGGCAATAAGATCTGGTATATACGTATCCAGTGATATTACTAGTGGACGGATATTCGGCAATACTTCTATTTGTGGAAAGTGGTCTTTATGGTCGCTTGAATCTGAATTAAATTCGACGTATGAAACAGGCCTAATTCTCTCAATTGGGATGCTGTATAGTTTTAATTCGCAATAGCAGTTCTTGAGTATTTTCGGTACCAGAAAAACAAGTAGTTCGTAGATTCATTATGGCATTGCGAAGCAAATTGTTCATCTTTCTACATGTGGTCGAAGACGAACAACGTGGAGCAATGGATATATTGTGCATCAGTGAGTTACGCAGGGTATGAAGAGATCCATCGATAACGCGCAGAGGCCTGGACACGGATCAATGATGTGTCCGACTATCAATGAGGAGTCCGACTGTCTACGGAAAAAAAATTTGCGACGGTGAAGGACCAGATTTATGAATAAACGTTGACTAACATAGATCATGAGTTATATTGTTATTCTAATGAATTTCCAAACCATCTATTCTATTAACTATGGAATCACTTTTGTATAATCCTTTCGAAGTTTAAAGACTATCTAACACGTAATGTCAACGGCAGAATCAAGTGGTTGGATGATTTTGAGAATTTGAAGCATTTTATGGCAGAATTATATGATGCTGGAGGTGTCTGGAATTCGCCCGGGGAAGTGCTAAAGTATTTCTTTATGATCAAATCAAGCTCACATGGTATGCGGACAACAACTCTATGATATTTAAAGGTGTCGATGGCCAAATTTTGGAACGATTGGTGATTTCTACGCTAGAAACTGGCGTTTTATTAACAAACGTGCTTAGTAATGTCGATCGTGAGTTAAATACATCAAATATCGAAAATTGTGATAAAAACAAGGTCGAAAGCTAAATTTTCGGAAGAGTCGTTCAAACCACCGTCCCCGCGACTGGCAGAGGTACCTCGAGTTTGTTCGGAAAACGTTACATCCTCGTGTGACTCGACCACGATCATGGCTGGAGCATCTAGATCCTGTTCGCCTGCGAACAACAAAGTAATTCCTATTGTTATGTCACAATGTCGGACCATAAGTCATCGCATAGTCGGGAATTTTTTAAGTACCTTTGACACACATAGAACATCTAATAGACCGAGTGGACATTGTTCAACTAACTGTATCTTAATTCACACAGAACAATAGTAAAGTGTCTCCTGAATGCCCGATCTATCAAGAACAAATCTGCGGATTTTGTTTGTTATGGACTCTCCACTGGTGCTGATGTTTTTGCTATCACTGAGACTTGGTTCACAGATAAAGATTGGCACATAAGGCTGAGATCACTTTTCCCGGTTACTACTCGATCATCCCCGTACTGAGAGAAGCGGAGGTGGAACAGCTTTGTTATTTAGGGCAATATTACTGTACACAAAGTTGACGGCGGCGAACGCAGGTCATTTGAGTTTTCCGAATGGATACTACAATATCGCTCCTGTAAACTGAGAACTATCGTTTACCGTACTCCCTATTCTGCTGCACATCCTGTTGTCACAAGTGTATTTTTCGATGAATTCTCCACATATTTGGATCTGTAATCATGTCCTCCGAACCTTTGTTAATCGTTGGAGATTTTAATATCCATGTCGATATCCCACGTGATCCTAACGCTATTCGATTTCTCGATCTGTTGTCCTCTATGGGCCTTGATCAACGTGTTGACAAGCCTACTCACACATGACACATCTGGACACACCCTTGATCTGATAATCACGCGGAATTCTGATACTTTACTTCCCACTCGTCCTTTAACAGATTATTTATTCTCGGATCATATCACAGTCATATTAGGAAGAATACCACCAACTGAGAAACAAGTATCATATAGAAAAATTAACGCAATCGATAAAACAAGACTTCGAGAAGAATTATTGTTATCAGATCTTTGTTTAAACCGTCCTGATACGCTAAATGAACTTGTGAAATGCTATAATGATACTCTAGCTCAGACACTAAACCGGCACTGTAATGTTCGTGGTTTTGTATCAATATCAAGCACCTTTAAGTATAACAATAGATATCAAACAACTTGTACAAACAGCATAGTACGTATCCAATTACTTCCCGGTTCCCTAGCCTCGTGCTTCTAAAATACTTAACTAACTTTCTAGTCACGTGTGTGCTAGTGTCAATAATGTCAACATTGCATCCCTCCCTTGATTTAAATAATATTATGAACTCTAGTACTAACTATAACAAAATATGCATATAATGTTTAAACTGTATCTTATCTGTTTTAGTCCAGGTCAATCATAAATGTTATTTCCATATCTGTACACCCGCTGTCTTTCTCTTGCCGGATATCTCGGACCATCATTTTGTCTCTGACCATTGTTCTGCCGCGGACGATCATTCTGTCTCAGTCCATCATACTGTTCATGCTCTTCGTGGACATCTTCATCTGAGGAATAATTTTCTTCATCCATTATCTCTGTTGACTCCAACGATCTGCCATGTCTGGGGTGATACTTTTAAAAGAACGAAATGTTCCGAGTTATATATTTCCCATTCCTAATTGCTGTGATCCTGTTCCCACGGCGATTTGTGACTTCATATGGTATTGGATCGTATTTTGTGGACATTTTATTTGCTTTCGGTTGCCGCACCAAAACTAAATCACTTTTCTTGATGTCAGCACACTTAACTCTTCTTTTGGAATCAGCATATTCTTTTTGGTTCTTTTTCAACCTTTCATCTCTCTCCTTCACCTCTTGATGAAGTAGGTGACTTGCCAGTGGTGGAATGTGGGGTAGCTCTGTAGTTGAGCAAAAATTTAAACATTTCACGTTTCCAGTCTTTGTTTTCATGATGGGCAGATTTCACAGCCTTTACAAGTGGTTTCATAAAGTTCTCGGCTTGTCCATTTCCTTGGGGCCATAATGGTGAGCTTGGTTTATGTTTAATGCCGAGTTCTTTCAAGTACAGACTAAATTCATGGCTCTGGAATGGGGGACCGTTATCACTCTTTAACACCTTTGGAATACCATGTGTGGCAAAAATTCGTTCAAGTTTTAATATTTTTGATTTTGCAGATGTTGAACTTACAATTTCCACCTCTGGAAATCGTGAATATGCATCAATAATCACTAACAGATATGAACCACCTAGAAATGGTCCACAAAAATCACTGTTCACTGTATGCCAGGGTTGGGGAGGCAGCGTCGTCATTCGCAGTGGTTGTTGGTGACTGTTTGGTCCATTTGCCTGACATAACAAACAAGTATCCACTGTGTGCTTAGCAAGCTTGTCTATACCTGGATACCAAACCTTTTCTCGCAACAACTGTTTAGTTTTTACTAGCCCTTGGTGGCCTTCATGAGCAATTTGAACAGCCTTTAGTCTAAGACTTTCTGGAAGCACAATTCGCGAGCCTCGTAATATAATTCCATCATGCTCGTTTAGTGTAAGTTCTGTTTTAATTTTCTCACATGCTTTCAAGTCCAAAACCTTTACATTGGGATTGGATTGTACGTCTAGAGAGTCTATTAAATGTCATTTACCTGTTGTGATGAGGTTGCTTAGGATCTGTAATGTTGCCTTGGTGGCTTGTTGTATTTCAGGCAGAGTCATTGCTCTTGGCACAGCATGTTGGGTAAGGAAACAAACATAATTGTCAGCCATTGTTTGGAACTGTCTGTCATCAGTGGTGTTGTTAACAGGTAAATGTCGAGATAGGAAATCTGATGGATTGTCAAGTCCCTTTGTATACCTTACATTAAAGTCATAATCTTGCAAGCGTAAATTCCATCTCTCAATTCTGGCTGGAGGTCTTGATTGTGGATTATTTAAAATCAACTCGACTGGTTTGCAATCAGTTATCAGAGTAAAATGTCCTCCGTATAGATAGATATGTAAACGTTCAATTGCCTACACAATTGCAAGAGCTTCTCGCTCTGTTTGACAGTATCGTCTCTCAACATCCGACAACGAACGACTGATATATGCAACAACATTTCGTTGGTCTCATCCTGGTACTTTCTGTGTCAGAATAGCTGAGAGACCAAAAGGTGATGCATCAGTGATAAGTTCTGTTTCCTTGGTTTGATCAAAATATGCCATAACTGTTGCACTTGTGAGGGCAGCTTTTACTGCGTTGAAGGATTTAGCATGCCTAGATGTCCAGCAAAAGGGCACATTTTTTCTCGTTAATTCTCGCAAAGGCTCTGTGAGATCACTGAAATTAGGGATAAATTTCGCACAATATGTCACCATCCCAAGGAAACTCCGAACAGCTTTAATTGAATTTGGAGGTGGGCAGTTGTGAATTGCTGAAACCTTTGCTGGATCCGGTGAAATGCCATCACCTGAGAAGACAAAACCAAAAAATGTGAGCTGCGATTGACTGAACTCACATTTGTCTTTGTTGAAGGTTAATCCAATGAGTGAAAACCGCTCAAAAATTTCATGAAGAGCTTTGTCATGCTCAGCTTGGGTTATGCCAAAGATAATTATGTCATCACTAATGTTGATGGCATTCGGAATGTCACGGATTTGTTCGCTAATTACATGTTGGAAGATTTCACTTGCCGAATTGGTGCCAAAATTCAACTTCTTCTAGCGGTAGAGTCCTTTGTGCGTTACAAATGTGGTTATGTGTCGACTTTCCTCAGCGAGAGATAACTGGTGGTATCCCGAGCGAAGATCAAGCTTTGTAAATATGGTGGCACCGTTTAATTTGTGAATTAAATCATCCACAGTTGGGGTCGGATGTCTTTCGCGTTGAATTGCCTGATTAGCCATGCACATATCAATGCATAGCCTGATCTCACCATCTTTCTTTGGGATAACAACTAATGGACTGACCCAAGGAGTGGCATCTGATACTTTTTCAATAATTCCATCACTTTCTAACGTGTCGAGCGCATCTGAGACCTTTTGCCGCATGTGGAAAGGAATACGACGGGGTTTGTGCTACTGGAGGGACAGTATCATCAATGTGCAATTTAACTTCAAATTTTTTAAGAGTGCCAATTCCGTTGAACAGATGGGCATACTCTTTCATCAGTTGTTCATGGGTGGCATGTTCCGGTTTCACATTGTTAACATTCAGCATGATTAGACCCAAAGCAGATGCCGTTTGATAGCTTAGCAAACAACCAAAATTTCCTTTGATAACATGAACTTGCGTGGTTGTTGCACCAGTCAAACATTCTAGAGTTGCACGAAATTGTCCCATAACAGGTAGCTGGTTTGTAGCTCCATATGCAAAAATACGTGTTTTGGAACGTTGAAGGGCTATGGGTCTCTGTTTTTGCAAGGTGTTGAAAGCAAGTTCATCGATGATGTCGATGGAAGCACCAGTGTCGATAACCATGTTGATAGGGGTGGTGTTGACTGAGATTTGAACCTGTGGAGTTGTTTTGTCTCTACCTGTCGGTTTCAGAGTAAAAATAAATTCATCCTCGCTACTGCTTTCACTGCTGGAGGGTTTGCCATAAATCTTGTGAACTTTGTTTTTGTGGTATTTTTTTGAAGGCCTTCGATTCTCTTGTTGACCGACGCGAGCCTTGCGAGCACTACGACAGACTTTCGCAAAATGGTTTGATTTTCCACAGTTCAGACAAGATTTTCCTTTCACGGGACAAATGTTGTTGTTATGGGGCCAGGGCCCCCCACAATTCCGACACTCTGATGAGGTGTAAAAGTCTTGGCGGTGAAACGATGTATGTTGTTTATCACGATGGTTGTTATGTTTCGTTGTAGGATGGACAGCTTCAACTACTTCGTCAGAAATGTGTGTTGAGTCAAGTGCGTTTTCAATGCCGGTTGCCTGCGATTCACTGAGTTCAAAAGCTCTGCCTTTTGCGAGAATCTTGGCTAGCGTAACTTCCGAGTCAAGCAGGGCGTAGCGTCGTAGACGTTTCGATAAACAGTTTTGAATTATGGCCGATTTTACTTCCTTGTCGATATTTTCGAAGTCACAGGTTGCCGCCAGCTTCCTAAGACGAGTTGAAAACTGATCGATTGTTTCATGTGGTTGTTGTTTGGCTTCACGAAACTTAAAAATTTCAAAATCGACATGTTTTTTAGGTGAAAAATACGTATCGAGGGCAGCGATAGCGGAATCATAGTCGTCGTCTTCGCCGATATCAACAAGGGTATCAAAAATATCCTGAGTCTCTTGGCCAGCTTGGTACAACAAGAGAGCCCGCTTTTGTTTCTTTTCAGTCACATTCAGAGCAACAAGATATGTTTCAAATCGTCGTTTCCACTTTTTCCAGCGCTGACTGAGAGAGTTTGGATCGGACATAGGATCAAATGGCGCCATTGGAGCTACATTGATTCGGCCAGTCGCCATGACTGTATTCGTAAACTAGAGATTTCAAAATCGTTTGTATTGATAAACGATAGCTGGTTTTTTTTTGTTTGTTTGTTTACCTCGTCGCCAATGTAATGTTCGTGGTTTTGTATCAATATCAAGCACTTTTAAGTATAACAATAGATATCAAACAACTTGTACAAACAGCATAGTACGTATCCAATTACTTCCCGGTTCCCTAGCCTCGTGCTTCTAAAATACTTAACTAACTTTCTAGTCACGTGTGTGCTAGTGTCAATAATGTCAACATTGCAGGCACGCACCCCTATGTACGAAGGTCATCAAATCTAGACCATTAGTTCCCTGGTTCAATGATGATATTAAAATTGCAAGGCGAGAGAAGAGAAAAGCCGAGAAAATGGCGCCGTACTGGCCACACTGAAGACATGAAGAACTACAAAATTATGAAGAATAATACGAACAAGCTAATGAACGAAGCTCGTCGCAAATTTTACAAGAACTTCATTGAGGCAAATAACTCTAATCAACATAATTAAGTTATTCGCGGCCGCGAAGAAATTACTTAATCATGGTGGCAAAAGAATTGCATTCCCTCCTTCTGTGGTTTAAACTTGAATTCGCTAACCAAATGGGTACTTATTTCGTTGAAAAAATCCGTAATATTCACACTAATCTTGAAAATATGGGGCACGATCTACCCGAGTTTGAAGTTTATAACACATCTGAAACAACTGCTCATCTGAGCAACTTTAACACACTCACCGAAGAAGATGTTCGAACGCTTATTAAAGAGTGCGGAAAAAGAACTCTGCTGTCGACCCCATGCCAACCTCACTGGTGATCGACCTAATCGATGTGTTATTACCGACTATCACCAAGATAATTAATTTGTCATTGGACTCTGGGACGTTTGCTGACGTCTGGAAATACGCTCTTGTGCACCCGCTCTTGAAAACTGTCGGAGTAGATCCACTTTTCGTGAATTGTAGACCTATAAGCAACCTACAGTACATCTCCAAATTAACTGAGAAAGTTGTATTTAGTCAGACCCATTCGCACATGATGGCCCACTCATTATATCCTGAGCGACAATCATCTTATCGTCGATATCACAGCACTGAACGATATCCTGCTCAAAATGAACTCGCAAGAAGTTACTTTACTGGTTACACTTGATCTAAGTTCCGCGTTTGACACTGTCAATCACGAAATATTGCTTCGCCGTCTCCGAAATGAGTTTGGCATTCACGGAAAAGTCTTGGATTGGTTCAAATCATACCTGCACAACAGAGGTCAGCAAATCTCTATCGAAGGCATACTATCCCAACGTTTCGATTTGGACTCAGGAGTTCCACAAGGGTCGTGATTGGGTCTCCTTCTTTTTATTATATCGACACACAGCTCTACCTCAGTCTTAAGCCAAGTTTAAGTACGTCACAGGAAGATGCTTTATGTGCGATGGAGTCTTGTATCGAAAAGATAAGACGCTGGATGATTCAGGATAAACTCCTGATGAACGATGGCAAAACTGAATTCTTGGTCATTGGCACTCGTCAGCAATTATGTAAACTTCCGCCTATCAGCATTTCAGTGAATAATTCTGTGATTTCTCCTAACCCGCATATTAAGAACCTTGGCAGCTGGTTGAACTCGAACTTAAACATGACGACTCATATCACAAAAGTATGTAAAGCCTGCTTTTTCCACCTGCATAATATCAGACCAATTAAGAAATATCTTTCAAGAGACAACTTGCGGATCCTAGTACATGCTTTCATCACCAGCAGGCTCGACTACTCTAATAACTTTTTTTACGGTCTCCCTGGAAAGCAAATATCTAAACTACAGCGTGTTCAGAATGCCGCTGCAACATTAGAAATGGACGTCCCGAAATATTCTCATATTACAGCCGTGCTGTATGAACTACACTGACTTCCGGTACATGCAAGAATTCAATTAAAGGTGTTACTATTTGCTTTTAAAGCTATACACGATCTAGCACCATCTTATATTAAGGATCTCATAAATGTTAAATCGAAGTCGTCCTTCAACTTAAGATCTAACATTGGCACTCTACTGGAACCTCCAGCAGGCAGGATGCTCACTACCTTGGGTGCTCGATCCTTTCACGTGGCTGCACCTCATCTTTGGAATAGTCTTCCACTTGGTATTAGTCTAGGACCTGTATATGAGTTTGTATGCATTTCATTTAGGACAGATAATCTCAACTGTTTTAGGGCAAGTTGACCATGACGGTCAACATGGTAACGCTGCCCGAACCCCAATCCGGGACAAAACGTCCGAAACTGACCACACCCAAAAACGACGCTTTCGCCATAGTGCTATCTACCAAACCATAAAAGCTTTGGCTATTCTGACGTGCTTATATGGTTCAGAGATGGTGGTTTTAGGGGTGGTCCTTGGTAAGTGTGAAATGCCTAGCACTGATATTTCACAAGAAAATGACCATGCAATACTCATAGCAAACGTCAATTTGTGGCTTACAACTTCAAATAAACAGCAGTGGATCTACATTACCTTTTTTCCTAAATCTTTTTTATACAAACATAATTGGTACTTATTTAATTATATTATCACTGTTTTGGTGTAAAATAGTTAATATTTTGTGACCGAAATAATAATTTGAAATGTACATACCTCCTGCAAATGGACGTATTTGGCCAAATTCTCCACTTTACACCGCTGTTTATGGCCGATCTCGTTGAAATCCTTCCAAGTATGCAATTCAGCTCAAACATAATGATATCAAGCACATTTTAAACAAGTTCAAACTGGGTTTCAAGTAGATCCTAGCTGTTTAACCATCGACAAGGTAAAACCTCAACTTTGTCCAAATTCGGCGCCATTTTGTCATCCCGTGTCGGTTGTAAACAATTCGGCCTTGTTATTCTTCCATCCAAGCCATTTCCATCAACGAACAACAAATTTAACCCTTTGTTAAGGGTATTAAAATAAAAATACAAATGAAATATGCGAAATGCAGCATTTTATCACCCGTTTATGGCATACATAGAAATATGAGTTGTCACAACAGTTACTGTATAAACAGACTATACAACAATGTCAGTATTAATATTTCTGCGATTTTAATACTTCTGGGACTAGTCCTAGCCAACTGCTCAACGTTGTTCACAGGTTTACAAGAGAATCTTACTTTTACAGTTACAATAAAGATCTAGACAAATTACGTGCAGAATATGAAGGTCAAGATAGGTGAGTTCTAGCAGATACAGTAAATGTATTATACGCTCGGTATATACTGTATTTCCATTTAAAATATGAAACCGCGATCGCTACTTAACATAAAAATTCATTTTTACCATGTTGTAATTCCAAGTTATTCCAAAGCGTTTTGATTGAACATTGAAGTGGTACTGAGCTCGTTTAGTTACAAAAGAAGATTTTGTTGCCATATATATTAAGTGGCACCAAACAAGGTTTAACTAAGTACACGTCCATTGTGTATACCTGTCGTTCGTTTGTGCACACGTCGATTACAGAGAGGAGGAGATCATTTGTTTCATGTCTTCATTTGTCTCTGTATTGTTTTCTTTCAACAGTTGGAAGAGAAAGTTTGAAGACTTGGAAGAAAAAATTGCGCCATTCCAGGTTTCTATCCTCGAAATGTTGAACTTTGTGAGACTGCAGCCAGTGGCGGACACTAGGGAGGGGAGGGGGGAACAAGGGGCCAACCACCACCAATAATATTCAAAAACCTTTGATTGTTAGCTAAGTAACTGTGTAACAAAGCTGTGATAATTATTTTTCGTCTATATGCATGATAACATGGTAGGTCATAGATTAAGCCATATATCGCATAAAATTTAAGTCAAAGAAGTTTAAAGAACGAAGAGTACCTGCAACCAAAACCAAGTGTCCGCCACTGGCTACAGTTTGATTGGGCTTAAACTCTCAAACGTATACACAATTCAAGTGTACGGAACACAATTCATACTGTAATGGTACTATTCTTTCTCAAACTGTTCAGTAGTGAAAGCAATTTAATAATCATAATAAACTAGTCTAACAAATCTCCAGAATAAGTATAATCCTTTAGTTATAAGTAATCTCTATATTATGTTTTCTAAGCACAAGGCTCTTATATGTCATTCTACATCACACCACATGATGACGTCACTACTATAGTAATCAAAACGTTTGCATGTGAACGTGTGATCGCAGTCTAGTTGTGAAGAGCAAACCAGTTTTAAAAAAGCCAGCACGTAGATCATATTATTAGCCTACATGCTGTACCGTATGAATGTGCTACACAAACTTGTTGGCGGCTTTAGGTTCAGATCAAATCCATCTCGAAGAAAAAAGTTGTGTTCGCTTTACTGCTCCCAATTCACGTAATACCATCTTATGCTTGACGATTCTAATGCCCTATACTTTATTATTTTTACTTTCAGGCCAATGCCCTGCTTTATTATTTTATTTTAACGACAGATATTATTTTACTCTGTCTAACCCCAGACGATTTTAGTCGTCAAGGGAAGAGTGCTGCCACTCAATGTATTAAACAATAATAATGTCTTATATCGGTTTTATTTTAGGAACAGCTTGATGCTTATGAACTTGAAAAACGGGCATTGTTAAACAGAAATACTGAATCACAGAGTGAGGTGAGTCATATATCCAGCATCTTTGGAAGTTTCCAAAAGTGAAAGGTTTCGCAAATGTGCGGTATACGCATCATATGTATTTGCTGCTATGCGGTGCTTCCTACAATTGTGATTACATTATTATAGTTATTATGCTATAGTTACACAATTTATCTGAGTAGTCGAATGCTTGGCAGTATAAAGTTATAGTATCACTGTGTGAAAAACGGGAATCAAGTTTTGTGTTAATTTAATTTTCAAGTTTAATTGAGCTTGCTTAATACATTTAAAAGGTCGTCTTAACCTTTCCTCTAACATAACTGACTTGTGCCAATTGCCTTTGTATGAACAATGCGTGGGGTACATGATCGAACGTCGTATTCTTTATTCAAAACAATGTACCATTGTCGTTTGGCAAACTAAATTTTATTTGACCTGTTGCCTATCAATAACCCCCTAAAATCGGGCTACGTTAGCTCAGATCTAACCAAACATAGTCTATAATATTATGTACTACCAAAAATCAAATGTAAATGGCACAAATATAATTACTATATATCTATTAATCGATCTGCTTAAACATTAAGTATAATTTACTGAACATATAGATTGACAAGTTGGGGCAGCAGTATGCGAGATTGTTGGGTCATCAAAATCAAAAACAGAAAATTCGCCACGTGCAAAAACTAATGGACGAAAACGCAAGTTTAAAACAGGTAACACCATTTTATAAGATTGCAAATTCTCGCTCAATATTTTGATCCTCGCAAAATCCCTAATTAGTCGAGGACCTGTATATGAGTTTGTATGCATTTCATTTAGGACAGATAACCTCAACTGTTTTAGGGCAAGTTGCTCATGATGGTCAACATGGTAACGCTGTCCGAACCCCAATCCGGGGCGAAACGTCCGAAACTGACCACACCCAAAAACGACGCTTTCGCCATGGTGCTATCTACCAGAGCATAAAAGCTTTGGCTATTCTGAGGTGCTTATATGGTTCAGACATGGTGCTTTTAGGGGTGGTCATTGGTAAGTGTAAAATGCCTAGCACCGATATTTCACAAGAAAATGACCATGCAATACTCATAGTCAAACGTCAATTTGTGACTTACAAATTCAGATAAACAGCAGTGGACCTACATTACCTTTTTTCCTAAATCTTTTTTATAGAAACATAATTGGTACTTATTTATGTATATTATCACTGCTTTGGTGTAAAATGGTTAAGGTTACAGGACACCCTTTTTGGCGTTTCGTGGAAAATCGCTACTATAACTACTACTACTACTATCGCTAAGTCGAAAGCGTCGTTTTTCGGTGTGGTCAGTTTCGGACGTTTCGCACCGGATTGGGGTTCGGGCAGCGTTGCCATGTCGACCGTCTTGGTCAAGTTGAGATTATCTGTCCTAAATGAAATGCATACAAACTCATATACAGGTCCTAGACTAAATGCAAAAATCGCGATAACAAAACTTTATGCCATTCATGTGCGTGGGAATATTAACAGAAGAACTTCCAAACTGACTTGATGTGGTGAGTTGCTCCAGTGACCTATGATCAAATTTAGTATACATGCTGTATTGTACTGCAAAAGTCTTTCGTTACACAAAAAGTATTCTGAAATGCAAAAAAAACATTATATCGAACCTCCTTAAGTTAAAGGTACGTTTAAGCTACGTTTACACGCTGGGATTTGTCCTGTACGATTCGTATTCTGGAGCATAGAGATTATAAATAACAGTGTTATTTATAATCTCTATGTTCTGGAGTATGAAATTTACTGCTGACGCCACAATTTCTCTTCATTCAGATTATGGCGAAATTTGACATGCAACCACTTTACGCGTCCTTATTCGATTACATACGCTAGAATACGCATCGTACACGACGCCCCTCATGGAAATCAGCCTCCCAACGGTTGTTGAGACTAGCGTTGTTAAATAAATAAAGTTTGTATTTATGTATATGTATAAGCTTTACATACAACGATTAATTGGGCCGATTCAGCTTTAATTAAACATGTGATTAAACGATATTTGAAAAAATACGCTGTCAACGTCACCTGACGACATCGTCAACTGACAACATTAATTCGTCATTAACATTCGGCAAAACCTGAAATCGGCCCGATTAATCGTTGTGCGTAAACGTAGATTAAAAGCCGAGACACACTGGGCGCGATTCGACAACGCGGTGCGATTTTTCCGTTTTTGACAGTTAATAAAACAGTCAATGAAAAGAAATTTTAAAAGATATGTAGATCAAATCACTCAAAATGTTACAGTGCTTCTAAATATTTGGAAAACTTAAACTAGAATCAAAGTTATCGATCAGTGAAAATCGAAAATCGCGCCGCGTTGTCGAATTGCGTCCGGTGTGTCTCGGCCACGCCATGCGACCAGGTCTTTTTCGTCATTTTTGAGTGGCAAAGCGCGAAGCAACAAAAAATGCGGGTTTTTACCAGGCAATAATGGCAGAGAAGCTAGGCCTGATCGCATGACTGAACGAATGAATTCATGATTGATCACCACCGATCTTTAAAAAAACGGTAGATCGTACATGGTTACTGTCAGGAAAAGGGAACAATCTTTTACCTTTTTCTTTTTTTTAAAAAGATTACTAATTACAAACTATGGGTAAATAGCATGATTTTCGGCATCTCACTTGATATAACTAATTGTTGAAGGGATTTGCAGATGGAAATTTCGATGGAAGGTGAATTTGGGTAGCCTTTTTTTTTAATTCCATGGCTAGTATTTTAGACGCAAATTAGTCGTTTCTATACATAAATCGGCTAAATTGCACAATACCCGTCCACTAGTCATCTTTCACTGCGTAGCCACATTTTCAGTGGCTGCGCAGGCACGCGCTATCAAATTACAATATCAAGGAAATACGTCTTTACAGTATATCTCGTTCTTTTAAAAACTCACTGCGTAACCAGGTAGCCACTAAAAAGTGGTCGGGTATTCTGCAATCGCTCCCATACATAAATCAATTATTTAATGCTGTTGTGTATAGGACTTGAAACAAGCCTCGAATTCACAGAATGGGAGTAAAATTGTAGTAATGCATACATGCGTGAAATAGATAGATTGTGCAAATTTGATAAATTTTTTTGCTAATGACTTTGCACTTCTTGCTAGTAACAGTGAAACCTACTGGCACATATTCCTAGTAGCCAAAAAGTTTATACCTACAGTCGCGTCCAAAATAAGTGCGACAAATTTTAGAAGTTTGATTCCTCGCCAGAGTTTTGAATGAAATCATTATTGACCCCCCCCCCCCCAAGTTTAGATAAAGAAAATTGAAGAGGGGTTGCATGATTTAGCGATAATTTTTGTGACCATTTTTTATATTATTAAAAATAGGTTACAAGATACGTGCAGCGTCTCAACCATTTCGCAATACTGCTTGCACGAAAATGTTTTACCCTCCCTTTTTCTTCCCCCTACCAGTAATTAATTACTAGTCCGTAAGAACTAATTTATACCTCGTTTAGGAAGTGGTTACGTTACGAGAGGAAGTCGGTAAGGAGAGGTTTAGCAGAAAGAGACTGGACGAAAAGCTTTCTAAAGCGACCGGAACTAGACGATTTGATCCGTCACGTGCTTTTAAACATAATGCATATGAAAACAAGGAAAATACTCCACTGAAACAGCATCCATAAAAGTGGTCTTTCAAAATCCTTTTAGACTATGTGGTTGTAGATTTCAAACAATGGATAAATCCAGGCATCTCCACAGTTGCATATAGTTTAGTAAGAGGGAGCTATATACAATGTTATATTTACAATCTTTTCACAAATTTTGAAGAACTAATTATAGCAATTCTATTTATATTGTAACGATAATTCTGCACGCATATATATATACTGTACGTTAATGATTCAAGCACGTTAATGCGTTGTAGGTGAAAGAACAGCCCGAGAATAAGTAAAACACACACCCAAATCATTGTGGGGGAATGGGTTCAGGGTGAAGTGAACCAATTATATACAATATACTCTCAAACTCTGGTCAACCCAGACTCGTTAAGCCCTGTTTTCATCCCACATATAAGACCTGCTAGGAGACTGAATGCCCTAGGGGTGATAATCCCCGATAGTGCCCTGCCAGACTGGTTACCTACGATTCGACTGATTATATTTACATAAATAACCGGAGTCTATGGGCCTGAAGTTGACCATTGGGAACACTTCAACCCCGAACCAAAATTTATTTGTTTCAACATAAACCAATTTAAGTATTTACATAGCGATAATTTTCAATGAGAAAGTTATTCGATAGTCTTTCTTGACTAATTGTCAGAATAATCCTCGCTCGCATAACATTAGTTAGTACCCATACAATGGACCAGACCACTAGACCAGTCACTGATACAAGGAATATGAACGGGTGGGTAGGTGGAAATTTTCTTTCCCGGTAGCAAGACATTGCTCTTTGTTTGGATATTTGTCAAAGTGAAAGCCCTTATCACATTGCGTGACCGGACGTTTGGCCAACAGACATTTGGCCGACAGACACTAGACCGACAGACGTTTGACCGACAGGACCTTTCACCGACAGACATTTAGCCGACAGGACATTTGGCCGACAAGACATTTGGCCGACAGGACATTTGGCCGACAGGACATTTGGCCATTTAGCTTTTTAGACTATATACGTGCATGCTATTGCACATAACTTGTAAATATGCGTGAAAGTTACAATAAATGTTATTTCAAGACGTTGTTTCAAATAATTGACATGTCGGTGAATTGTTCCTGTCGGCCTAATGTCTTATCGGCCAAATGTCCTGTCGGCTAAATGTCTGTCGGTGAAAGGTCCTGTCGGTCAAACGTCTGTCGGTCTAGTGTCTGTCGGCCAAACGTCCGCGCACCATCACATTTATCACTTATTTACTGAGACCGAGGGACCACAAAACACACTGCTTTCCTGAGGTCTCAGTAAATAAGTGTTTTGTTATATAGACCCATTGCACATGACGTCACAGCGCCGGTGACGATGCATCTGGAGGACAAATTAGCAATCTATGCACAATATAACTTTTGTAAACAAAGCAAATTTTCTAAAAGTTTATAATAATTTTTATAATAATGGTAAATTTTTGCGCTGTATGTGGTTGTTGTACCCGAATAGATGTTGTTAGGGAGCATCTGGAGGACACTCTAAGGATTTGTGACGTCAGTGCAATGGGTCTATAGTATTTAAGTGTCAAAGTATGAATAATTCGCCTGCCCGCGGATACATTTGAACTTTGGATATCGCCTTTTTGTGGCTGTTGACAAACCTTTAATTTCCTGTCACTATGAGATTATAACCAGATTTGAAGCTGACAAACGTATTGTCTCATTAACTTTAATTTATGTATTGTTATATATAAATTGGCTTTCACATTTTCCACTAATAGGGAATTTAATCTCCACATTAATACGACAAACGCCAGGCAAAGAAAAAATTGTAGGCTAATAATGACAAAATGGACTTGTTAATATATTCAAATAGAAATGTAAAATTACTGAGACTTATTTACCGAGATCGAGGGGCCACAAAACACACTGCTTTCCTGAGGTCTCAGTAAATAAGTGCTTTGTTATATAGTATATAAGTGTCAAAGTATGAATAATTCACCGGTTATTGGAGTGAACTTATAATTTAAAACCAAAACTGGATAAATGAACTTCATGGTTGACACGCGTGCGTATTGCACCCATTTTATTATTGTCCGGTCAATAAATATTTCATTGCGGACCGGTTGCCGAACATGACGTTTTGTGGACACGGTTTTGACCAATCGGCAAACAGAAAAATTAAACTTTGACTCTAACTATATAAGAGTGTATCTAAAAGTCGAGAGTCGAGAGTAAAAGTCGAGAGTCGAGAGTAAAAAGTCGAGAGTCGACAGCAAAATGTCGAGAGTCGACAGCAAAAGTCGAGAGTCAACAAAAATGTCATCAGAAACAACAAAGTCAAAATATTTTTAACACAATATATAGCCGTACGTTCCGTAACAACGGCTGAACTACAAACTTTCGCATATAAATATAGCTACAATAACAGTCAATAATATAATAACATGAACAAAAAAACTGCATGATACGAAACTAATCCGTATCATATGTGAAGCTTTCATCTTGCTAAAAGTCATTTCATTAAATTTTGCTGCCTTTCAATGACAATAGCCGAATTCATATTAGGGACGGGAAACTCGTCTGCGAAAACCCGTCTGAATATGAAGTTAGGGACGGGTAAATTCGAATTTAAGACGAGTTTCCCGTCTGTTTCCGAATTTAAGATGAGTGAACACGAGTCAAAAATGACGAACACGAGTGAACACGAGTCAAAAATGACGAACACGAGTCAAAAACTGACGAACACGAGTCAAAAACGCATTCTTAAAGAGGCTCCCTACAGTTTTAAGCCCGTGATGAAGATTTGTACTGTGTAATTGCACGCGGGTTTCTTGGCGGCCCACAGGATGTTGGATTAATAATTATTAATAACAATTATTCGCCGAAGGCGAGGTGATTATCGGTGAATAAAAACCGAGACGAAGTCGAGGTTTTTATTCACGATAATCACCGAGCCTGAGGTGAATAATTGTTTTAGTATTATTTCATAGGTGAATATTTAGAAAAAAATTTAAAAATACACATTTCTTCGTCATTTAATTGACAAAACGGCTTCGGCCGCCATTTTGAGAATCGCTTAGGTGATTATCGCGTAATAATCACGTACCTCAACAGCAGCCAATCAGCGTGGAGAATTTTGAATAATCACCTATGTAATTATACTAATAATAATTAAAATCATAACGAAAACTTTATTCAATTTTAATAATAGTAATAATACTTATAATTATTATAATTATATTAGAATTAATTATAATTATATAATATATTAATTATTACAACAATTATTATTTAGTAATAATTATTAGTAATTAATTATAATAATTATTATTAATTAATTATTAATAATTATTATTAATTTTTATTAATTAATAATAATATAATATGTAAGTATATAATAAGATGAAGATGATGGTCCATAAGATGAAGTTTTGGTTTTGTTTGTCGTTGCTGACCAAAGTAATGCGGAGTCTTTGACGGTTCACCGTTCACATGATCGCATCTTGCCACATGGAAAGTTGGAAACGGCGATATATATTGATATATATATATATATTTTTATATATATATATATATATATATATATATATATATATATATATATATATATATATATATATATATATATATATATATATATACCGGGTGTCCCAAAAAAAAGTACTCCGGTTTGATTCGTAATAACTTCTAAGCAAGCAAACCTTTTAAAGAGAAATAACATGCATCAAATAGAGGAAGGACTAACTTAGATTTTGATATATTACAGTTGTACTTCACTTAAAAATTTACGGAGATATTAATGTTTAAAATCGGGAGCATATTTCTGGATGTGTCTGAAATATGCAAAAAATGGCGTATCAAATATTAATCAAGATTTTCCCGACTGAAACATGCACGATTACCAGTAAATAAATGACACTTGACAAATTGTTTATTATGAAACAAAGTCTGTATTATTATCTACAAAATACAAGCAAGATTTATTCGTCCGAAATCTGTGTGTGTTCCTAGCACGAATACGTTTGCTTATTTCACGAGACCACTGCATCGCGAAGGATCGTCATGGATCGTTCGTAGTTCTGAATTAGGGCATGCTGTCACAATGGAATTGTGAAGCTCTTCTAACTTCTGCAACGTTCTGAAATCTTGTTAAGAACACTCAAACTCATTTACCTTTTCTTAATCTTTTTAAGTTCAGAATAAACTGAGAATAAAACACAATCAAACCATTCAACTCCATAAGACATAACAATTAAGCATGCAACTCCCTAGAGACATCCAAAATTTTTGGAACAAAACGTAACAAAATAGTAGCGTTGATACTGTGATGTGTGTAATATTGTGTTTGTTTAGACACACGCCATGTTGAGTCTATCTGTCCTTTATCTAATTGTCTCCTGCATATATATCTATGTCCATTACGTCATAACTACTTAATGTCAATCATCTACTTATAAATGTCACATCTCCCTTTTGCCAAAGGAGATTGTTTAACTAGTGTTTCTATTAATGTCTTTTTTAAAATGTCAATCATAAACAGTTTTCTAATGTTCTTAGTGTGCTATATAATGTCAACTATTAGATTTATTCTCTAAAAAGTTTCAATGTTGCTATTTTAGTATTTTCCTATTTTCCATTTAATTGGCTTGAAATCTTTCTGGTTTACGACTAGCACGACCGCTTCGAGTTGTGTACAATTGTGGTGTTTGTGGTGCTTGTCCAGGTTCTAACCCATTTTGCTGCCTACCCACGGCAATTGGTATTTGGTGTGGAGGTTGGTACTCGGTGATGTTATCATCATCTAGATCACAGTTCTCCAATCTGTTCATGCCAGTAGATTCATATAGATGTTTCCGGTTTCTTCGCAGTACGAAGCCATTAGATGTACGGATCATGTACGATCTGGGCTCTTTTCTCTTTTCAATCACTACTGCTGCTTTTAGTCCAGTGTTGGTCTCATACCGAACATTATCACCTGGTTGAAGGACTGAAAGCTCTTTAGTGTGATGGTCAAAGTACTGTTTTTGTTTTTCTTTGTTCTTATGGAGGGTTTCTTTGACTATTTTGGGTTCAATTATCTTTGGTTCTAATAGTGTGGTCGAAGTGGGTAAGGTGGTTTTTGTTCTTCTACCAAATAATCTCTGGGTTGGGGATCCCAATTTTTCATTAACTGGGGTGTTGCGATATGCTAACAGGGCAAGATAGGGGTCAGTGCCTGCTTGCTTTGCTTTCTTTAAGAGGTTCTTGGCTGTTTGTACATATCTTTCGGCTAACCCATTGGATTGTGGAAAATGGGGACTTGATGTAGTATGTTGAAATCCATACTCTTGTGCAAATGTGGCGAATTCATGGCTGGCAAACTGTGGGCCGTTATCTGATA